TGTCATCCACCACATTAGCAGAGTAAATCAGAAAAGTCATCTCATTTCAATAGATACAGAAAAAGCATTTAATAAAAGTCAGCACCCATTCATGAGGAAAAGGTCTTAGAAAACTAGCAATAGAAGGAAACTTTGTTAATCTGGGAATAGTATTTGTTAAAAACCTGCAGCAACCATAATACTGGAGAAATGTTGAAAGCTTTCTTTCCAAGAAAGCTGAATTTCCAAGATTGAGAATATATGAGAGTAGTGTCTGTTACCTCCTTTCTAAATCATCACTGTACGAAAGATCCCAGCTACGTTACTGATGCAGGTAAATCCATCGTTGCATAAAATTCTGTTGGGCACCCCCATTCTGTAGAGATCAGTGCGGTTTCAACATCCCAACATAAGTTTGTTTTGGTGGATTTGATGGGCCTGAATCAGAAACTTACATGGAGTAGCAAAACTAACTAACTTTTTTTTTTTTTTTTAAAGAGGTGAGGTCTCTGTCATCCAGGCTGGAGCACATACAGTGGCACAATCATAGCTCACTGCAGCTGTGAAATGTTGGGCTCAGGTGATCCTCCCACCCCAGCCTCCTGTGTAACTGAAACTACAGGTGTGTGTCACCATGCCTGGCTTTTTTTTTTTTTTTTTCCTTGTAGAGATGGGGTGGTGGTGTGTTGCCCAGGCTGGTCTCAGACTCCTGGCCTCAAGTGATTTCCCACCTCGGCCTCCCAAAACCCTGGGATTACAGGCATCAGCCCCTGCGCCCGGCCTGCCAAAATGTTCTTGAAGAAGAACAATTTCCTGTTGGATGTTTAAATTTTTAAAGCTGTTGTAATTTAGTTAGTGTCCAGTTCTTGAACAGAGATCTAAGTAGGTAAGTCTGTATCCAGTAGAACAGAATAGGGAGTCCAAAACTAGATCCACGCATAAAGGAGAATGTGATTTATGATAAAGATGGGGTTACAGAGCAGTGGAGAATGTTAGTTTTTTAAATAATTGGTTAAGGATCAACTGGATGTTAATTTGGGGGGGAATGAAACTAGATTCCTATTTTACACAGAAGTCAAATGCAAATGCATTGTGCATTTAGATGTGAGAGAGAGTCCAGTGTTTCGAAGGTAGTAGATTTTTTTCGAAAAATTTCTTAGACTCCAAAAGTACAGTACTAATTGTAAAGCAAAAGTTGATAAAATTAAGAACTTTTATTCATCAAAGTATACGATTAAGAGAGTAACAAGGCAAGCTGCCTGTAACCAGTAGGGGCTTACTCATATTCAGAATATGTATTTTTTAAAATCCTAGAAATTTGTAAGAAATGGGCTTACAATTCAGTAGAAAAAACAGAAAAGCAACCTGAATGTACATTTCACGAAGTGATGTGTAAGTGGCCAGTACACATCAAAAAATGCTCATAGTCACTAATTTTGCATAGGAAAATGCAAATTAAAACCACACTGTAGTACCACAGCACAGATACACTTAGCATAATGGTTGAAATTAGACTGATGATTGCATGCTGTAGTGAAGGAGTGGAGCATGGGAATTTTTCATAAACTGCTAGTGGAAAAATTGATTGGAACAAAAAAAGACTGGAAAAACAACAGGACAGCATCTCTGTGTATACCAAACGATGCGTAACAAGAATCTTACAAGTGGCAGTGTTCATAGTAGCCCCAAACTGGAAATAATCCAGGTGTCAGTCAGTAGTGGAATGGATAAATTATCATTTGTTCATGTATTGGGGTATTGTAAAGCAATGGTAATGGACAAACTGTGGTTTATAGGATAAGATGAAGTAAACAGTTCCACTGTATTACATTAGTCTCTACTTGCCCTGCTATAAATAAATACCCAAGACTGGGTAATTTATAAAGAAAAGAGGTTTAGTTGGCTCATGGTTCTTTCTTCAGGCTGTACAGGAAACATGAAAGCCTCTGGGGAGGCCTCAGGAAAACGTTCGATCATGGCAGAAGGTGTTGGAGAAGCAGGCATGTCTTACATGGCCTGCAAAGTCAGGCAAAACGGGGAGGTGCCACACAGTTTTAAACAGCCATTTTTTGTGAGAACTCTATCACGAGAATAGCACTAAGAGGGACGATGCTAAACCATTAGAAACCACCGTCATAATCCAATAACCTCCTCCCAGGGCCCTCCTCCAATATTGGGGATTACAATTCGACATGAGATTCAGGCAGGGACACAGATCCAAACGGTATCACCTGCTCATATGAAAACATCACGCCTGTGATCTTGGCACTTTGGGAGGCCGAGACGGGTGGATCATGAGGTCAGGAGACTGAGACCATCCTGGCTAACACGGTAAAACCCCATCTCTACTAAAAATACAAAAAATCAGCCCAGCGTGGTGGCGGGTGCCTGTAGTCCCAGCTACTCTGGAGGCTGAGGCAGGAGAATGGCGTGAACCCGGGAGGCGGAGCTTGCAGTGAGCCGAGATTGCGCCACCGCACTCCAGCCTGGGCGACAGAGACTCTGTCTCAAAAATAAATAAATAAATAAAACCAAATCTGGTTTTGGAGGTCAGGATAGTAGTAACTTTTAAGGAAGAGGAAGGTGGTGTTGGTTAGAAAGGGTCATAGAGTGGTATGGTGGGTTTCTGGGATGCTGGCCATTTTTCCCCCATTTTGTGACACAGATTGATTTCATGATAGTAATTTAAGCTTTGTGCTAATGGTTTTTATGCTTTCTACAATATTGCACTAAATAAGTTTAAACATAGTATATAACAGTGACATGGATAATAAAAACAGAAGTTAACATTTTTATAAAAAGTGTTTGCTGTGTGTTACAGGTTTCATTCTGTGTGCCTGTTGGTGGTACCTCATTTAAACTTTGTAACAAGGAATAGGGTCAGTATAGTAATACCTCTGCTTCATAGGGAAACGAAGGCTTTGAATAGTTAAGAAATTTCCCAGTCACAGCCTTAGTCTTTTACTGTTTATAAGAACTTTTTATATATTAAGGACCTCAATTCTTTTTATTTATATTCCTTCCCACCTTTTTCTTTTTAATGTGCAGATTTAAAAGCCCTCATTTCCCCCATTATTTGAATTTAGATTTTCAATTTTTTGCTTTTACAAATACCAGGATAAACATGGTTGACATCTTTATCCACATCATGGATTATTGCCTTAGTATAAGTTTCTAGAAGTTCTTTTTAAAAGCGAACAAGGTTGTTCTACAGAATTGAATTGAATGAATGTGTTTTTGACTATGAATGATAAAATGTTTAGAAAAGTTAGCCATCTTTCACCAGTTATACTATCCTTTTACTTATTTAAGAAATACTAATCATGTGGATTGGGAAAGTTAAGGACCTCACTGTAATGGACAGAGAAGAGAATCTAAAGTCTGAAAGCAATGCTAGGGGCAGTAGACTTTCCAGCTTCCGCAGGGGTGGAGGACTTGAAATTTGTATTTTGGAAAGGTCACTTCAGCCATGTTATTGAGGAGATCCAGAATTGCAAATAGAATAAAGACAGAGCTATTAGGAATCTTTTTGGTAATCTTAAGTGAGATATGTTGTGTGCAGATGAAAAGGTTGTGTTTGAGTGTTCTGTTAGGAGAGGGAATGAGCAAGATTGGGCAGCTGTTGGGGAAGAACTCTTAACATGACTCCCGAAGTGTTGATTCTGATTGACTGGGTAGGAAATGGTGTCATTCCCTGTGGTGGAAAATAGAGGTGGAACTTAACGTTTGGGGAGCTTTGTTCTCTTCGTTTTGCAGAGTCTGTGCCACATTCAGTTAGAGATGGTATTCTCCACAAGATGGGCACTGGTCCCATGAGCCTTTACTGCACATTGACTGTGCATTACTCTACAGTACTTGCAGATAACATTGGGCCATTTATTAATTGGCAGAGCTGTTCTGAGTACGTCGTATGTATTAAAGCACTAAACCTTCATAACAACCTTTTCAGGTAGGTATTATTATCATTATAAGGTATTAGGTATGCATGGTCACCAGTAGCACTGGGATCTCCAACCCCAGCAGCCTGGCTTGAGAGTCTGTGTCCTTCACTGTTGGACCACCATTATTGTGTGTCTTGAAAATGGTGGAAGTCCAAAGTATTTTGCCACTGAACTACATGGTCGGTTGTGTTGTGGCTGTTTACTGGTTCATTCAGGAGGACAGGCACAAGTATTTTGAATCTAGTCATTCTTGTTGACCAAGGTTTTAGGCTTTAGTCTGTGATTACAAATAGGTTGAATTTAAGAAAAATCTTTTTTTAAATCATTTTCTTAAAAATTGCCTTTTATTAGATACCAATACTTTTATGGACCAGAGTGTTAATTTTTCATTTCTGCCGCGGATATCATGATCATGGTTCATCCTACCCGTGGGATAATTATTGGCTCTTCTTTCTTTGTGGTGAGCTTGCCAGGTCTAGATTCTCTTAGGACTGTTTGAAAGGTGCAGAGGAATCCAACAACCTTGGGTTGAGAAATTTAGTTCTGTGTTTTATGTTTGTTTTCCTGTTTCTATACCCAACCTTTGATTACCTGTGTCAGTGGAGAGCACCATAAGGTTTCACCTGGTTTGGGATGCTGGCGATGTTGTTTTCCATAAACCTGGCAGCAGGTGCAAAATAGCATCTCAGAAATATTCCTTTGAGTTGGTTTGTGAGGAGCTGGTCCATTGGAGAAGTCCCTCAATAATTAAAAGATTACTTATTTAACTTGTATTATGGTTCTTAATTGATGAAAATCTCATAGGTGAAAATGAGTCTTAAAGGTTGTTGCTGTTGCTTTACAAAAAGGTTTTCTGAAGATTTTCTCAATACAGGTTTATAATCATTTTAATCACTATTGATCTTTTATACCATTTACTACATAACTGTTGTGTTGAGTGACATATACCTGTTTATAGTGAGAAAAGTTTTTTAATATTGAATATCCTAAAGTTCTTATTTAAAGAGCTATTAGATATATCAAATGATACAAACATTAGGATATGAATATTTCCTTTAAACTTCACTTATCTTCTTGTAGGAGGAGAGACTTCAGCATGCAAACCTTCATCTGTTCGGCTTGCACCGTCATTTTCATTCCATGCTGCTGGCCTTCAGATGGCTGGACAGATGCCCCATTCACACCCGTACAGTGACCGTCGCCAGCCAAGCATAAGTGACCAGCAGGTTTCTGCCTTAGCGTATTCTGACCAGATTCAGCAACCTCTAACCAACCAGGTAAGTTCATGGAGTATCAGAAATGATGGTTGGAATGGCAGTTTATTCCTTCAGAATGTTGGAATACTAAATAGGCAAAATGCTTTAATGGTTTTCAATTTTACAAGTTTTACATGCAACATGGGATTATGGATTGAGAAAACGTGGTATTAAGAAGTTTGCATTAAAATGTGTATGGTTTTTTTTTTTTTTTTTTGCATTTTTACTTGTATTTCACTTAAACAGTCATAAACATGCCCACAGTCTCTCATTCTCTAATAGAGAGGGGGAAAGTTATTTCTGAAGAATATTAAAGGAACTTAAAGAAAAGGCTTATTTTTATGGAAAGGTGGCTAAGTTAAAGATGTTACAGGAAAGCAAGTCAGAGTCCATTACAGCAAACTTACAGAACCGAATTTGTGTTATTTTAAACTACCTTTCTACACAATTGTAAAAATAAATACAAAACTCCTTAAAATTCAAAAGAGATGTATGCAAATTAGCTGTGCTATTTATTCAATATTCAGACAGGCTATTCACCATTTTTCTATGAAGTGTATGGTGTAAATAGAATAAATGCTGAACTCTTTTGGTACACACACGCACATACACACATGCATATATATGTATGTGTGTATATTTTTAATATCGTTCTAAATTAACTGCACCGTCTACATTGATTTTGGTTTGGGGAGACTTATTAGCTGCAGTTGTGAGATAAAGTTTCTTGCCCCGCTGATATTTGATGTGTGATGAGCACTGAAAATGGCTGCTTTTCCATGGACTTAGAAATTTGGTTTGCCATTCTTTTGTTTAGTTCTTTTAATATATCGTGTGAGGATAAAAGAGTTGGGAGATTTAAAAGTATTTCTTTTCCTGGATTATTTGAAGGAATTGTATTTTCTCTAATTCAGTTATATTTATGGTTTTAATGAAAAATTGGTTACAGCGACACATCATCTTTATTAAGGGGTGTCTTGTTTGTATTAAAATGTGTTTGTAATAAAATTTTGCTAGTAGTTAGGCTGGCATAGTGTTTATACGATATATAACACGTTAATGACATTCACAGTTAAATAGTTACAATAAGATGAATTTTGGCAGGACTTAAGATTTTCTTTTATGCAGTGAATTGATTGAGTTTAGTTGTGTGTTTGAGAATTGGGACAGTTGTTCAGGATGTCCAAGTTTAGGAAGTGTTTAATTGTGTACCAGAAGAAAACTTCCTGGAAATCTAATAATAATAACATGATGATCCATTTGCACTTTGAGGAAGCCAAGTTGATTCAGGTTAATTTTCCTGCTTGTTCCAAAGCAGCCTGTCAGGCAGAGTGCTGTTTTTAATGTGTTCCACAGCTGAAAGGACTGCGCTGCTATTTGTGACTTTTCCATGTGTGTGAGCAGGCTTCCTTCTTCTTAGATACAGTGCTATTTCAGGTCTAACCTCTGGTGTCTGCAGAGGGCTAGGAAACTTCCAGTCCTTTAAAGTCATTTTTATCATTATATTATTTTAGTAAATAATTTAATTAGCAAAGCACCTATTTTTATATCCAACTAACATCTTATGTGTATTTGGATCATATAAAATAAGAGATATTTTACTTACTATTTCTGTTTTAAGCTGTGAAATACTTTTAAAGATTTATGTGATGTAAAAAGACTATATTTAAAGTAATAATACTCAGCCAAATATTTCTGCCAAAATCCAAAAATTTCTGGGCCTAATAAGGGAGTCATAGTAGAGAATACCTTTCCTGTAACTAAAGTGTAGGCTGTGTATTAAGCCTATTCATAGAACCTGGCTTCAAGGTCTTGGTCGGCTCATGGTTGACTTGGTCGGTTGTAGGATTTGAGTCAGGTCATATCTGTTCCTGGGGTGTAAAACTGGCACCTCCGACTAGAACTCCTCCACACATACAAAGTACCTTTTAGCTATAAACTTACTGTAATTTCATTATGTAATTTCCATTGTTTCTTGTTAATCATCCTACCAGATGTCTTTTGAGAAATAGAGCAAAAAGTAGGTGTAGAACAGGATGACTGATGTTTGGAATGCTGAGTTTCTGGGCTATTCTAGTTTTCACAATACCTTTCATAGTCCCTCATTTCTCCTAGTACCCTGGATATGTGTTACGGATGCTACTCAGCTTTATTAATGCTCTCAAAATAATAAAGGCAGAATACAGTGTTTCTGATTCTTCATTATATATGAAAACAGGAGGTAAATATAAATAAAATGAAATAAGTATTATAATGGAAAACAGTTTTTGAAAGGAGTCCTAGAGCTTATAGTAAAGAATCTTTTCAGGAAAAAAGTTAATTATTGTTTTAGCTCTTATAACTGATCTAAGCAGGAGTTTTGTAATCTGGGTGAAGTAAAAGGAGCCAGAGATGTGAGCGTTGAGGGCATGCTGTTTCTAGCTTCCAGAGCCAGATAGCTGAGGCAGCAGGAGGAGGTCACATCAACTTCCCTTTTATTAGGTTACTCCCCTTGCTAAAGGGGTCATTCCTGCAGCTTGGTGAGTTCCTGGGTCCTCTGAACACCATGGGCTTACTTTTTGGTTTAGAAGGTAGAAGGGAACTTGCTCTATTACTGTACATTGTCTTAACTTTGACTAGCCGAAGCAGGAAGTAGAGAAAGTGTCAGATGCTTAGTTCTGGCCTTGAGTCTTAGTATAGATGTAAAAGTAGGTATTTGGAAAAGCTACTTTCTAGTTCTGGATATGTACTGATGGCATCACAATGTTCCAAAACAAAAATTTGGTTAACATGAAATCACAATGAAAGCACAGGAGTATTACTTGCTTTGTAGACATTTATTTGTTCTTTCCATGTATTTTGAGCATCTCAATACAGGGTGTTGTTTGCATGAAATACAAACAACTTGGCCTTGTAGGCAGAGTTTGACCGGTTGTAGAAAAGGTTAGCAATGTTTTGTGAAATGCTAAGCACACAGCACACACTCATATGGAGTGCAGAAATTTGATCATGTAACTCATGTTTATATTCTGTTTTGTATATGTACTATATGTTTAAAATTGTTTTTTTAATTGTGTGTGATTTTGGTGTTTTTAAGTGAGCATCATTACTCCTGGATGTAGTCACTGATTCTTTTTTCAGATGTTTGAAATACCAGTGGAATTGTAAATTGGCAAGTTAAAAACTTAAAGACATTCACAGTTTTTTTATGTAACTAATTTCAATAAATGTATGTGTTTATTTTAGGCATACCTCAATTACTTTGCCCAACAAATAGCCTAAAAATGATTGCTAAGAGGGTAGACTAGAGCCGTAACATTGATAGGGAGCTCCTGGCAAGAGTGTCCTTGTTAAGAGTCTGGAGTTAGGCCTGGACATCTTCAGCTATAATATTACAGGAACTGCACTATGATAATATTTCAGACCACACGGATGGTGATTTTCCTGTTCTTTAACTGGCTCTGGGACCTTGGTCAAGTTCTTTAACATTGGAGACTCTGGTTTCTCTTGTGTAAAATGGTCACAGGAATGCTATTTAACTCCCTTGAGATTGTTGAGGGGATTACATGGGAGACTTGTAAAAATATGCATGCTAAAAACATGTTCAGTAAACACCTGCTAGTGTTACTGTTACTTTATTGTTAAGTTATTCGGTTGACCCTACCAATGGCTTATACTTCCTATCAAGTTTTATTATAGCTGTAATATGAAGCATTGCACTGATTCAGATTTTGTGAAACCTCACATTTAGGCTGTACTCCACCAGCCCAAGAAAGGGGATTACTGAATAAACTACCTGCATGAAAACAATGCTGGGAACTTAAAAAAGGAAACACATTTAAGGGAAACCTTTCATCACCCTAAATGCTTACAGCATTCATTCACAAAAAAACTAACATGTTTATTACCCATATTAATTTATGCATTAAGTCCTTAAGGAATAGTATAAAAATATTCTGTGAACTTAGCATTACCTACTGTTCAGAAAAGTAAGACTATATATTTGAAAAATTAAATAAGTTACATCATCTTAATTCTGATGATTTTTGTCAGACAAATAGTTATAATCACCAAGGGTTCCCCCCCTCCCTCAGCCTTATTTGGAATTTTAAGAAGCAGAGGTCCTTGAGAAGAGGCTCTGTTATTTCAGTAAATGGGTGAATCTGCCCTCTGGGTAACAACTGTTTAGAGTTTGAGTATACATGCAGAAGAAACCAGTGTTAATGTTGGTTCATGATAAAGCGCACGTAGGTAAATGCCATAACAGTTTTATCTTTTCAGACCACATGGATGGTGATGCTTCCTGTTCTGCCCACTGGTACAACCCTCCCCTCTTCTCTTTTTTGGTGTGGGTTAGGTTAACAAGTATACCATGACTCCACACATTTTTGTGAGGTCTTAGTATGATGTGTTTACTGTCACTCTGCCCCTCAGATTGACCCGAGTGTCCTTGGAGAGAGGTTGTGTCAGGGTCTTCTGGCTCATTTCCCAGCACAAATGTCCAGAAGAGTTGGGCAGGAACACAGGGATGGGCCAGGGGGAATGGCTGTGACCACCTTGATGGAAATAATTGGTTTTGAGGATCTGTTGATTTTAAGAACCCCCATTGGGAACCCTTTGACTGAGGCATGACTCTTGCTGGAGCAGTGGCACTGGGACAGCAATCCAGAATCATTGACGCTAGCCGCAGCACTCCTGGGTGTGTGTATAGAGGGGGTGCATGCCCCTGCTCTGTCCTCTGTTGTAATGGCTGTGGAAACAGTCTAGCAGGATGCTCATGGTGCAACCCCTCATTGGCTGTCAGAAGTGTTGAGAGCCATGAGTTGGGATCAGGGAACGGGGGGACTGTGAGGGCAAGTCTTGGTTAGGGGCAGATGTTTGTCAGAGGGCAGCTGAGTCTGGTGGCATTAGGAGCTGAATTTCTTGTTAGGAGCAGTTGGAGGGAATGGGGCTCTGCTGCCAGCCTCCTTTTTTGGTGCCAGCTGGGTCCTGAAATTCTATGTTAAGGAAGCTGAAAGTTGCCTCTGAGGGCTGGGTTTATCTTTGTTGGCTAGTTGTGAACCTGGTCAGGTTTTAGGAATAATTCAGAAAAAAATTTTCTTTGGGCTAATTGTGTGGTAGAGAAGCCCTCATGGGCAGCATCCTGTGGGTCTCCTAGATTGGGGTATGTCTGCAATTCCACCACTTTAAATTTGGCGGAATAGGATCAAAGCCTCAGGCAGCTGGGCATATTATCTTCTAATTTCATTTGTTTGTTCTAGTGGTTGTCTTTATTGGAATCCACATAAAAGGGAACTTGGAGAGAGAATGTATAATCATCTAATGTAGATGTCTTTTAAAAAGTAGATACATGCAGGTTACAGAAGAGGGAATTTGTATCAGTGCAGTATAGTTAAAGTGCTAGTCTTTTCTGTCTATTTAAGGTGATGCCTGATATTGTCATGTTACAGAGGCGGATGCCCCAAACCTTCCGTGACCCAGCAACTGCTCCCCTGAGAAAACTTTCTGTTGACTTGATCAAAACATACAAGCATATTAATGAGGTAAGACTTGATTTGTTGTAATAACATCTATCTTGCAGTACGTCAGTGAGAAAAAAAGTGATTTTGTGACCTATCTACCCTAAACTTTTTTCATTCCTAGTAATTGTCATATTGATGATTATTATGAAGACTAATGATTTAGAAATAATATAATTACAACTATGTAAAATATATATTAACAAGGACTGCAAAGTATAAAGATAATTGTGTATAACTTGATTTTTAAAGGTTGTATTTAATATATTTTTAAAAATTTTTATTTGTTTCTCTTTATTTCATTTGAGTTACTTCTATAATAACTCTTATTCAAAACAAGGGGAATAAGGACTCTAAAAGTATATATGTGTTAGAATTTTTGCTTGAATTTTTATATATTTGTTTCTACTTTTGCCATGGGTGTCAGAAAGCTCTGAAATATGTTTAATACCTAGTTACAGGCATTTGGCCTAGTGTATTTGATCTATCTATATTTCTGTGATTTTATTGTCTTTTAAATTTTTATGTGTGTTCTTTTATCTATGTCTTTTTATGATAAGATGTCCAGAAGCCTTTTTGTTGTAAGTAAATAAGATAAAAAACAGACACAGCACTTTAAATTGCTTGCCTTACAACTTGGTGTTTTGCCACCAACATTTTTTCTGGTGTCTTGGACCATTGGCTTGATTGCCATTTGCTTGTGGCTTCAACTCTGTCTCCAAAGTTATTATTAAAGGAACATTTCTGGAGAAGAACCCATGCCTTCTTTCTTCTTCCAGTGGGAGCCCTGCACCCTTTCGTGTTGAAGGCTTGTCCTTTGCCAGCTTTAGAGCTGCTTAGCTGAAAAGTGAAAAGATGTTCTTAGGTACATGCAAATTTTATAGCAACTTAATGTTATTTAATGCCAGTATTACTACATTACAGTGGCAGTGCGGCAACATAAAATTAGAATGAACTCTGTGAGAAACATTTCTGAGTTAGATTTTGTACACATTTATGTATTATAAACATGTTCCAGACTAGCTTGTGATTATATGAATATATCTGATAAATTGTTGATAACAGTATATTAATTTAAATTTGTTATTTTCTGATAAATTGTTAAAGCTACAGTTAAACTGTTGTTAACAGTAGCTTTGTTGGAGCTTGTTTTAATATGTCTTACCATCTTATAAAGTAGACTTTTTCAGATGTTACTCCATGCAGTGTAATTTATAATTTCGCCAAACTTAGTTTACCAGTTACCTGGACTATTTCCTAGTTCATCTGTTATTTTTTTTACTAGTCTTAGAAACAGTGTTAAAGAAAATAACTCAGCCTGTGATTAACCATAGGCTTACGGTCTTTGGGAGTGGGGGCAAAGGGGCCATAGCTGTTTTTCATTAATCGTTATATTTTTATAAGTTTAAAAACTGGGCATGTCTCAGAGGGCCTATTTATTTTAGTAAAACATCAGTTTGCTTACATTTAAAATTATTCTAAAAATACGTGGCCATAAAATCAAATACAAATAAATACATGCAAGTTACAGAAGAGGGAATTTATATCCCAAATGTTAAGTTGGGATTGACTGGAAGAGGGCATGAGAGAACTTGAACTTGAGGTAGATGAAAATGTTACTTGGCTGTTACTTGGCTGTTTGGCATTTGGTAACTTTTGTCAAAATTCCTCATGTTGAACTCTTAAGATCCGTGCCACCTCACTGTATATAAATTATACTTTAACAAATAAATATAAACTAGGTCCTTTTACTTTTCTTGAATGGCATACTTTGGACAAGTCACGTAACATTTTTTATTTACAAAGTCTATAAACAGTGTAACTACAATGAATTTCACTGTAGACATTTTTTTGTTGGTTATATCAGTGTTATTTTCTAACTCAAATGTCAACTGTAGAAAACAGATGTGTCTCAATATACACTGATAATTCCCTTCCCCTCACAGTGATTTAAATTTTACAGTTAACACTATGTATTCTCATTTCAGGTTTACTATGCAAAAAAGAAGCGAAGACACCAACAGGGCCAGGGAGACGATTCTAGTCATAAGAAGGAACGGAAGGTTTACAATGATGGTTATGATGATGATAACTATGATTATATTGTAAAAAACGGAGAAAAGTGGATGGATCGTTACGAAATCGACTCCTTGATAGGCAAAGGTTCCTTTGGACAGGTAATTTAATGGAAAATTCTGAATTTCGTTAATTAGAAAGAACTTCTTAGTGAATCTTGTTGTTACAGCCCTTCCTCAAGTATACTTTTAATATTTGCAAATAGAGCTCAGCAGTGGATATGCAAGTATTTGGATGACCATAATTCTTTAAAGGTAGTGATACTGCATCAGTAATAAAAACTCCTTAGACTTCTAAAAACTTCTATGGCTACCAAGTACTCATTTTACTAATGACTGGTAAATTTAAATCACTAATAGATAGTATTGCCTTTTTGTTAGGGGTCTTGTGTAGTCTGTAGATGATTGTTAATTACCTGTGCTAGAGATATTTACCTTCTTCTCTGATAGACCACTTCAAAGAGAAAAGACTTACCATGTTCAGGTGGCACAGTGGGAGTCCACTCACTTTTCAGGAGGCTTTGGAAAGCTGGGGGTTGTTCTCTGGCTTTTTCTCCCACCTCATGTTGTAACTATACCAGACTTCTAAGCAGGCAGGCAGTTTTAGTCTCTTGTATCAGTCTCACCAATACCAAGAGTTTTTGGTCTTTCTCCTTATACTTTATTTATTTATTTAGAGACAGACTCTCTTATCACCCAGGCTGGAGTGCAGTGGTGCACTCTCGACTCAGTGCAACTTCAATTTCCCAGGTTCAAATGATTCTCCTGCATCAGCCTCCCAAGTAGCTGGGATTACAGGTGTGTGCCACCGTGCCTGGCTAATTTTTGTATTTTTAGTAGAGGCAGGGTTTCACCATGTTGACCAGGCTGGTCTCGAACTCCTGACCTCAGGTAATCCACTTGCCTTGGCCTCCCAAAGTGCTGGGATATCAGGCGTGAGCCACATGCCTAGCCTTCTTGTACTTTTAAAAAGATTTTTTCGGGTCAGGTGTGGTGACTCACACCTATAATCCCAGTACTTTGGGAAGCTGAAGCAGAAGGATCACCTGAGCCTAGGAGTTCCAGACCAGCCTGGGCAATATAGCGAGACCTTGTCTCTATTTATTTAAAAAAAAAAAAAAAAAAAAAATGTTGGGGGATCTCTGGCTGTGATCCCCCAGCTGTTCCCAGTTGTAAGTCCTTCTATCACATTGAGTCACAGAACTCTGTTTTGTTTGAGGTGTGATTTGCCGATAGTCCCAGTCTCTTCTGCCTTGCAACCCTTGTGGAACGAGATGGTTATTAACCTGCAGTCCAAATACATCTTCTGATTTTTCAGTGATGAGGATAGAATGGGAATCAAAATGACTTTTCCTGAATTGCCTTTTGTTGTTTTTTTTGTTTTGTTTTCTTAAACTATGGAACCTGCATGTGCTTACTTCTCTGTTCCTGCCCTGAGAGAAAGCAAAATATATGCTCCTTTTTAACCTGTGAGGAAAAAGTCATCATGATTAAAACAGAAAATGTACTGTATGTCATTAGCAGCCACAGGTCTAAATCCAGAAAAATAAACGTGTAAGCAAATATGAACATTTTTGTTAGACCTGTGTCACTCCAATGTGGCCCTATCAGTCCCTGATGTCACGTGTATATGTCTTCTTCCCATGATTTGAAAGAATTTTGGTAACTACACATAATCCAGGGACTTTTTCCTTGAATTATAACCTCTTTTTCTTCTGAGGGGTTTTTCAGTGGTTTGGGAGTGCTCTTTTTTTTTTTTTTTGAGACAGGGTCTCACTATATCACCTTGGCGGAAGCACAGTGGAGTAGTGATCATGGTTCACTGCCTCGACCTCCTGGGCTCAAGTGATCCTCCTACTTCAGCCTCTAGAGTAGCTGGGACTACAGGCACGTGCCACCATGCCTGGTTAATTTGTTGTTTTTTGTGGAGGCGGGATCTCACTGTGTTGCCCAGGCTGGTCTTGAACTCGTGGGCTCAAGCAGTCCTCCCATCTCAGCTTCCCACAGTTCTGGGATTATAGGCCTGAGCCACCACACATGGCCTGGGAGTCCCTCTTGATTAAGGTATTCCTGTTTGTCAGTACGAAGCAGCTTCTCTGTCAGTCTCTTAAGGAAAGGCATTTGTCAGGCCCAGTCCTTAACTAATGGTGTGAACACCCTCTACTGGTTTCCAACCCGGCTACACAGCAGGAGGGAAGCAGTGGGCCAGCAAACGTTACCGCCTGAGCTCCACCCTCTCAGATCAGCAGCATTAGATTCTCAATGGAGCTCAAACCCTATTGTGAACTGTGCATGCGAGCGATCTAGATTGCATACTCCTTATGAAAATCTAATGCCTAATGATCTGAGGTGGAACAGTTTGATCATCAGACCATCCACCTCAGCCCTACCTTGGCCATGAAAAAATTGTTTTCCACAAAACTGGTCCCTGATGCCCATAAGGTTGTGGACTGCTGCTCTAGACCTAGACATTGCTACCTCTGCCATGACAACTTCACTAACATTTGGGCAGTTGCACTTAAGAGGTCACTTTTTTTTTTTATTTTTTATTTTTTGAGATGGAGTTTTCCTTTTGTCGTCCAGGCTGGAGTGTAATGGTGCGATCTTGGCTCACTGCAACCTCCGCCTTCTGGGTTCAAGTGATTCTCCTGCCTCAGCCTCTTGTGTAGCTGGAATTGCAGGTGCCCCCTACCACGCCTGGCTAATTTTTGTATTTTTAGTAGAGATGGGATTTCACCAGTGTTGGCCAGGCCGGTCTCCAACTCCTGACCTCAGGTGATCCATCCGCCTTGGCCTCCCAAAGTGTTGGGATTACAGGCATGAGCCATTGCACTGGGCCTAATAGGTTACTTTCTAACTTTCCTGACATCTGCCATGCAAATTGTGGCCATACAGGCTGCTCTCTAAGCTGATTTGCCCCTGATGATTCAGTCTTTGTGCTCATAGTTACGTTTTTCTTCTCCCCTTCACCTTAGTTTTTCTCACACTCAGATTCCACAGAAGAAGTGAGCACAGAACTCTGTGATGACAGAGGCCCGTTTGACATTGAACTCCTTTTTCCCAGGGCAGACTGATACTGCCCAAACTCTTGGGCTGAGGAGTTGTGCAGTGTCCACATTGAAGTTCAGGTCCTGTCCCTCAGCAGAGTAATATCTTCTGTATAGACTTGGTCAGACTTTCTCCACGTTCTGTGTCAGGTTATTGTCAAATAAGGGATATCTCCATTTCCGTAGCCAATACTTATCAATCCTGATTGCGTATTTAAATTTCTTGGGGAGCTTACCTGAAAAATTACTGATGTCTGGGCTCTAGACCAGTTAAATTCTCTAGTCATTGATGTAAAAGAAAAAAAACAAGAACACCTTATTGAATTTGTAATTCATGGTCAAAAACTGTCAGTTAACCCGTTAACTGTTTGGCAAGTCAGTAGATCCTCAGGCCCCCATGAGTGTCCTTTGTCGTGCAGCTCATCAGGATCTGGGCACTGAACAGCAACTCTTAGTGCAGTCAGAACATCCAGTGAAACAGAAGTGTATCAGAACCACTTAGCCACATGTTTACAAGGGTAGCCTCTGTTATAAAAGACCACAGATAGTGTCTTTTAGAATTAAGTGAAACCGGATATTAGTGCATTTTTTATTCCAAGTTTGATTTCGCTTGAGCCACTCAGAATCTGTCACAGTAGATTTAGCCTTGACTGATGAAGATCTGAGAACATACGTTCCATCCTCTGCCTGACCTTATGATTTCATCCTACACCTTGGAATCATTTGGAGTTTCTTCCCCATCCCCAGACTTTTTGAATGTGCTAGAAAATGTATCTAAAAGAATTACTTTTTCAGACAATGTATGATATAAATGTAACTTCTATTTTATTAGTTGTAATGATTGTCAGTGGTTAATAAGAGGTAATGTTTTCTTTTACTTATATATTGATTTTGTAATGTTTATGTAAATCTTTTATAGTAGTATGTACCTCATTTTAGATGAGTCACATTTCAGGTGAGAGGCACGCATGGTGATGTGTGCTCATGAACTCTGTGGTTTCCTTAGCAGTGATTCTCATTTTAAAACTATCATAATCCCCCAATTACAGCATTTGTTGCATTGTGGAACTTTACTGGTAATTTGTGTTTGATTTTTTTTTTTAAGTCGAAACTGATTTTTCTTTTATATACTTATGTTTTTATGTATGAAAATCTAATTGAAAGTTAGAAAGTTATCTGAAGCCTTCTGCAGATAAACTTTAAAATATTTCATACGTATTCTTAGGGTTCAGGTTTCTCTCATTAAAAGAATAGTTTGGTGAGTTAAACACTATAAAACTATAGTGTTATTTAGTAAGAAAGATAAAACCTAAGCAGTTGTCAAGATTCATAATTTATTTCTGAAGGAGGAAAATAGTTAATCTAATTTTATTAAGAAAATTATCTGTTTTGTGGATATTTAGAAATACTGTACAAATGCAAAAAAATTCAATTTAAAGGATTGATTTAAAGTTACTGTGTGATAAATGGATATATATCGAATAGAAATAGACAGGATCTCTTCTACTTAGGGAGGTCAGAAAAATGATAATTATAAAAATGTATAATTGAGAATTAGGTAAATGTTATAATTAAGGTGAATTATAAATATTGTGAAATTGTTGCAATTAATGAAATAGAGAATCATCTTCTCTTTTAGGTTGTAAAGGCATATGATCGTGTGGAGCAAGAATGGGTTGCCATTAAAATAATAAAGAACAAGAAGGCTTTTCTGAATCAAGCACAGATAGAAGTGCGACTTCTTGAGCTCATGAACAAACATGACACTGAAATGAAATACTACATAGGTAAACAAACAGGCAAACAGTGCAGTGTGCCCCAACCCAGACCAAAACATTGAGTTAATGGTTCTTTTTTATCAAAATATTTTGATTTTATTTTAAAGTGGTAGATTAAAAATTTGTTTTTTTCTGTTGGACAGGAAGATTTATATAAGTGACTTGATCTGGTAGTAATAGTCTAAGTCTTGGGGAATGTGCCTTCCAGGTAGCGTACCATGTAGAAGAAAATGAGAGTAGTGTGTGTTTTTTTATTTGCAGCTTACTGGTACCATTTGTTTGCTAATGATGCATATTTATCCATAGGGTCATCTTTCCAGTAACTTTAACCATTTCTAATCTAGCTCAGAAGCTAGTTGTGAGCTAGTATGTTGTTAGTGGTTGCGGAACCATTTTTGGGGCATCTGCAGCAAGATCTCAGGCTCCTCTCCAGTCTCCTCATCAGCTTGGCGGCATTAGAAGCTATTAGACTTACGACTACAGAGAAGAGATAATAGCCACTGCTTATTGAATTTCCACCACATTCCTTATGCTTTCCTTCCATCATCTGTAATAATTTATAGCAGTCTTTTAAGGAAGATGGTAGAGTCCTTAAATTACAGGTGGTTTGTATAAGAAGCCGCATACCCAGGGTCATAGGGCTCTGCAGCTAGGATCGGAAACTACAGTACTTCTGCCTCACTCCAAAGTCTGTCTGTTTCATTCTCGCGTAGTCTTCCTTCTGAAAACAAACAGGAGACAGAAGAATTATGAAAATACTGAAGTCTAGGGCCAATTGATACATGGACAAGACATCTTCTAATACACTTTCTTTCATAGTATTTTTAATCAAATCTAGTATGTTAGTGATTGTAAGACACCATCATTTCATGTACCATCAAGGAAAAACCTGTTAAGTATTCATATAAGATGCCATCAATCAAAGATACAGACCTTAAGATCAGCACAGATCCATAGTCACTTGTGTTCAGAAATGCTGACCTTACTTGATACACGTAAGGCTGAGTTTTATTTAACAGATTCTTTTAAGAAAACATTATGGTTCTTTGGTCCCCCCTTAAAAAGGTAGAAACAAATAATGGATGTTTAAAAAGGGAAAGCTTCAGATTGTTTAGATTAGATTTTGTTTGTGAAATACCTCTCATTCCTCATTGTTAAAATATAAAATGAGTTTGTATTAATTTTTCTTAGTTTATGGATACTGATATAATTCATAATAATACCATTCTTACCTTAAAATCTTTCTTGTCACACTCAATGAAACTTTGCTGTTCACTGTCAGTTACAACTTACATGAGGTGACCCATTTTCATTCAAAGGTTTTAGAAGCACATCAAGGACATTCTAAGGATGATTGACTTACACTGTGATTTCTAAACATGCCTCCTGCCTTCTCCTCATGCTTGAGTATTTGCTTATGGAGCAGAAAAAATATTGATAGCATTACTGTAACATTTTAATTCTGCTTTATTTAAAAAAGACATAGCTGGCATATAGTTAAATACTCAAAAAATATTAGCTACTCAGTTACGTATAATGCTAGTATTTTGTTTTGAATAAAGTGACATTAATGATCATTTTATTAATTTTATTAGTTATTACAGATACTCTTTGGATGAGTTTTTAAATTCTTATTTTAGAAGATGGTGAATGCATAATGTCTCAAGAAACAGATTCTGTTTGGAAAACAAAAGCACTTTAGACGAGTTCATGTCAATTGAATTGATACCTTAAACTTAAGGTATCTGAAAGTCATATTTTGTGATGTAAATTAATTTAAAAAGATTGATGAGTGTGATTTATTCTGATGAGTTTTATCATCTTGTCTTTGAACTTTCAAAAACATCTACTACTTTACCATGTAGCCAAATTTCTTATCTGGATTATTTGGTACCTGCCATCATGGTCCAGTTAAAATTCAGTTTAAGTCTACAACAAAGTCTTGCCAAGCCCTCCATTCTCCCCAAAATTCAGTTAAAAAGACTGAGCAGATATGCTTGTTTGATTTTTCTTTGACAATGTCAGCACATTGTAGATACTAAGTAAATGAATAAAGAATTGTGAGGTCAGGTGAAACTGAGTAGGTTGATCTTTCATTGGACGAACATTCTAATCACAGAGCTTCTTAAAGGAATTTTTATAATCACATTAGAATTCTGACACAGTTACTTTTTGCATTCATTTTGTGGCTCCTGCTTAACCAGGAGATTAAAAGCTACACATAGACCATGATTGTGAGCATGTATCATGGAACTACATTTTTAGTTTTAAACCTATAAACTGAAGTGACTAAGAACAGATATTTTACATTCTTAGGTAACGTTTAAGGATTCCTTTGTTGTTTTTAGTATCGAGTTGTGCTGTAGACTCCTCTATAGCCATGTAGTTATTTTTATTGTGTTACTTATTCTAACTTTAGATCACCTATATCATGAAAGATCTAAAAGCAGTATTGATGGCCACTGCTTTGAGGCAGGCAGCCCAGGACTACTCCCAGGAAAACACAATGTATCCACAGTTCTTAGTGATCAGACATTGATTACTCTCCAGTTTATTCCAGATAGATCTATAGAGAAACCTCTCATTTTGTAATAGTGTAAAAGAAAATGAAAGTAACCTTGACAGATGGGTAGTTTATGTCATTGCAGTTGTGTCACAGGTGCTCAGTTTGGTGTATGTAAGACTGTTAACAGGGAGGGACAGCACTTTATCGAATAACCTCATCTGATGTGAAGTCAGTGTTAATACTTAAAGCACAATCTTTGAAGCAATTTAGTGGGTATTCAGCCCTTTTAGAGGGTCAACAGTGATAGCGACCTATGTGTTCTATGCTGTTGCCCCACTTAGAAGCCTCCTCATCATCTCTTCTTGGAGCTGAGCTTTATTTTGAAGTTTTCCAAACCTTCAGTCTCACACACGAGCTGTCATTTACTAATTTGATAAACACAGTTAAGTCCTCCAATACTTTTACCAAAGCATGATTTTCAAACATTTGTTGTATTTGCCTAAAGGGTGAAAAAAAAAAAAAAAAAAGCCATCAATGAAAATTGTGACAGAAAATTACCAGTGAAATGTGAAGTTCTGCAGCGCAGATAAATTTCAAAGCCTACACAGAGGGCTGCCAAGTACAGCATTGTCACAAACCAGAGATCCCAGTAGGTGGAGCTTAGACATAGGAAGTTGTGAGGTAGGGCTCTCAGGAAGTAAAAAGTGCTTTCATTTATAAATGAAGATAAAAATTGCTGAAATATTCTTACTACTGTTTGTCCATTTGCTGCTTGTGTTTTCAGATCTGACTTTTAAAGAAACAAGGCATTTTGGTAGTACTGCTTACCTTATATCACTTATTGACAAACGCTGTACCTGTTTAATTCAGCAGAAGAGCAACTTAGATATTCTTAACTGATTAAAAACTGCTGTTACTACAAAATGCTGATCTCCAAACTTTAACTGAACTCTGCATTTGATGTTGTAATAATGTTATAGATCATTTGAGAGTGCATGTGTTTGTTACTCTCATTTATTGGTATATGTAATTTAAAATGAAACTTTTCTCTTTCAGTGCATTTGAAACGTCACTTTATGTTTCGAAACCATCTCTGTTTAGTTTTTGAAATGCTCTCCTACAACCTCTATGACTTGCTGAGAAACACCAATTTCCGAGGGGTCTCTTTGAACCTCACACGAAAGTTTGCACAACAGATGTGCACTGCACTGCTTTTCCTTGCGACTCCAGAACTTAGTATCATTCACTGTGATCTAAAACCTGAAAATATCCTTCTTTGTAACCCCAAACGCAGTGCAATCAAGATTGTTGACTTTGGCAGTTCTTGTCAGTTGGGACAGAGGGTAAGTATTATTTCAGAACTTGTGAATTAAATAGGAATTAAATAGAAGTAGGACAGCGTAGGTGTTAGGTTGGCACAAAAGTAATTGTGGTTTTTGCCATTGCAGTTGCCATTTTTGCAATGGCAAAATCACAATTTCTTTTGCGCCAACCTAATATTCGAAATGTTACTAAGGTGTATACCATTTAGAGGCAATTACTGGATGGTTATTTAGCTTTAAAATGTAGCACTTACTTAACGTGTGCATATCTGTTTGGGGAAATACCTTTTAAAATGCAAATAGCAATACTTTGAGTCAAAAGACATTAATTTTTTGAAATGGGTATATTTAAAATTGTATGTATGCTAAAAGATTAAGGGAGAGAATAGGAGATGGAATGATTAAATATTAGGGGATTTGTAACTATATTTCTCAAGTAAAGGTTTTAGTATAAATTTTGGGACTTTTCAGTACTAGAACATTGAATCTTTGCTGTAAAATTCTTCTCTGAAGATGGATCAAGATAAATCATTTTTCTAAAAAACTGATGGTTCAGAAAAATGCAGGTAATTTTGCCTTAGTCATGGTACTAAAGTATAGAAAATTCAGTTGATAGACGCACTTGTTTTGATAGATAAGTTTGTCTTCTTTTCCCCACTCTTACTTAAAATTTACTTAAGTTCTGACACATACCCAAGCTGGTTTTTTTGAGACTGCTAAAAACAAATGTGTTCGTAGTGCTGAAAAGTTTAGCTGATTTAGGAAAGCAGTTTTTTCCTGTCATTCTTCCGGCATTATGAAAACTACTCTAACGACATTGTTTTATATGTAAAATAGAAGTTATAGGGGTCTCCTCTTGAAAGGAATTAGTGTCACCATTTGATAATATTTTACTCATTTTTAACACCATTCTTTTTGCTTTTAAGTATTGAAACTATATTTCTTCTGTTTTAAAGAAACCCAACTAACATACAGATGTTAATTTTTCATACTGACTTTTCTGTTTCTTATTTTTCCAAATTAGTGAAATTTTCTGTCCTGTCCACTTTTGTCCAGGCTTTAACTATAACAGATTAATCATAAGGATTTATAGCCAGTTAATAGGACTGTCTTTTTGTTATTTTCTGCAACTTCTCTTATGGAAGTGATGCTATCGAGTGTTGAAGTAATTTTTAAAAATTGGAGTAGGGACCAAAGTTTGCAGTTTTAGATGCCTTCAAAAAATCAAGAGATGCTCATAGTTTATGTGGGATAGAGTGTATTGTGAATGAAAAATACATGCCCATCTTGAAGAGTAATTTGAATAGATTATAGAGGTGGGAAGTTTTTCCCCTATTTAAGCCAAATTATATATTTTGTCCTAATATTAAACATTATTATTTCTGTCTAGCCAAAAGAAGCCAATTATCCCTATAATAAGTTTTTAATTATTCAAGTTCATTGGCATCACACGGGAAGTTATTTCTAAAATAGACCTGCCATGTCCCTGCCCCTAGATCTACTGGATTAGAATCAGAAGGTGGTAGGGCAAGTGTGTTTTGGGGAAAGCAACTGCTTTAAACAAATTAGATAGGGAGGTGACAAAGTTCCTGACATAAGCTGTGAAATAAAAGTCTCAGGAGTGGTGTTTGGGCCTAGGGAGTTAACAGTGGTATTGGCTTATAAAAACCTTGGAAATGCAGTACTTCTTCCCAGTTCTTTTAAATTAGACTTTCTTCTCATAGTTCCTTAAGGTTGGTTGACCTGTCTATGGAGGCCTGAGATTGTTCTTGAAGACTTGGCTGGAGGTTTCAGTGGGAATCACAGAAAATTTCATGAGCTTTCTGGCTGCATGGTTTGGGTGTTAAGTTAGGAAATTTAATTAGGAGGATTTTCTTTCTTTCCCCCTTTTAATAAGTGAAACAAATTGGTCTTTGAAGAGATCCTCACATTACTTCATTGAAAATAGTCCATGTCAGGATTGTGTTTCTGTAAGAAGTCTTGGATGGAGGTAGAGAGAGAAGAGAGAAGAAGCTATTGATCAGAGACAGCTCTCAATTGAATCTTTATGTGGTAGTGTTTCTGGGATTTATCTGTGAGACAGCAAGAGTACAAGTGTCTGAATTTTAAATTACATTATATTGAAGTTACTTGACTTTTAACGCTGAGAAATACATTGTTTAGGTTAATTTAAATACAATTTAGTTGTTAAGATAGTGGTAAACTAAGTGCCAGCCATAGTAGGAAGAAATAATTATTAGGGAAATAAATTACTTTCAATAGTGTTTTTTTTTTTTTTTCTAGTGAGGCATAATTGTTTTAAGAAATATCATGATGACTAGGTAGGATTAGACTAAATGAAAGGGCTTGAATCTTTACGTATGATGCATTTCACAATCAGATTAACCAGTCCCTAGAAATGTTTAGTTCTTTAAGCCATATTCATAGTCTAATGTTGAAATTAGTCAGTGGAACCCTAATTCAGGAGTTAGCCAATTCTTTTCTGTTAATATCACGTTAGTGTTTTTAATCCAATGCTGACTGCAGTTTTGAGCAATTGAAGTAATACTATTTTGAAATATATTTCAGATATACCAGTATATTCAGAGTCGCTTTTATCGGTCTCCGGAGGTGCTACTGGGAATGCCTTATGACCTTGCCATTGATATGTGGTCCCTCGGGTGTATTTTGGTTGAAATGCACACTGGAGAACCTCTGTTCAGTGGTGCCAATGAGGTAAATGATGTATTGCTGTACAAATTCTGTTTTCATAATTTCTTTTTGTCTTTCATCTGTGACAGTGTAATTTAAAAGTTGTGTTTAGGCAAAGATGTCTATTTAATCATTCAAATGTGAGGTCAGTTTGAATATACCTATTTTTTCATATTTGTCAGTTGTCATATAATGTAAAGTTTAGAATTATGAGATAGGAGTAGGATATTTTAATCTACTCATGAAGGAGAACAGTTAATTAGATTAGAAAGTGTTAAGTATTTTGGCATACATTTTACAGGTTTTAAATACAGTAACAGAAAGCTTAAAAGATGATAAGGAATGACGGCCTTCCTGCAGAGATACAAACATCACTCTAAATTTTGAGATTATGATTTGGAGTTGAAGAGGTAATGATCAGTAGGACTGGTGGATACTCAGTCTGAATAATGTAGAGTAAACTAGATTATAGAATTGTCGGGCTACAGAGACTGTGCAATTCTGTATTCCACAGGTTTTCAGTCTGTGTTCTGGAATATTTTTGAAGGTCAGAGGCAGTGAATGGGAGGGCGGGGACAGGCCACAACTCCCTGCAGTCAGAGAAATCGGGCTTTCATTGTTTTAAAAACGATTCACCTGTGGGGTTTTGTTTGTTTGTTTTTTAAAAGAAAAAATGGACCATTGCAGATCTTGATCAGTCTATTTCTAAGTGAGAAGAGAAAGGCCAAAGGCATTAATGACTTGTACCGGATTATGCAGCTGTTAATAGGTGGTGTCAGAAACTTGTCTCTTCCATCCTTCTTTTAAATTTTTTTTTTTTTTTGAGATGGAGTCTTGCTCTGTTGCCCAGGCTGGAGTATAGTGGCACAATCTTGTCTCCCGAGTAACTGGAATTAACAGGCAGCGCCACCATGCCTGGCTAATTTTTGTATTTTTACTAGAAATGATGTTTCACCATGAGAGCAGCTCCTGCCCTGACCTGAAGTGGTCTGCCCGCTTCAGCCTCCCAAAGTGCTGAGATTACAGGCGTGAGCCACTGTGCCCAGCCCCTTTTAATTCATTTCAGCTTGAACTGGTGAGCTACTCTTTGATAGTAACTGCCATAGTTTGTTTTTGTTTTAGTATAAATCTTACTTTGTAAATTAGTATCTTTCTTGGGCTTAAACAATATTTGAAAAACTTTGCTATGTTACTCATTTTAAAGGCCGAGGTCCTTTGAGTAGCCCACAGATTCCTGCTCCCTCTGATGCCAGTTCTCTCACCACTACCTGGTCGCTCCTTCTTCCCTCACTCTGTGGTCCATACACAGCTTTCTCTGTGGTCCGTTGAAAATGCCAGCCACAGGCCCATACTCAGCCCTTTGCATTTCTTCCTTCCTGTGCCTAAAATTCTCTTTCCGAGCTAGTCCCTTGCTGATGTTAGTGTTTGTTCTGATGTCACATTCTCGGTGAAACCATATACCCCACTTATGGTTGCAGTACCCCTTCTCATCCCATAGTTCTTAGCCAGCGTCTGACATCATGTATTTAATTATTGATACAGCTGGGCGCAGTGGCTTACACCTGTAGTCACAGCACTTTGGGAGGCTGAGGTGGGCAGATCACTTGTCAGGAATTCGAGACCAGCCCGGTCAACATGGTGAAACCCCGTCTCTACTAAAAATACAAAAATTAGCCTAGCTTGGTGTCGCATGCCTGAAATCCCAGTTACTTGGGAGGCTGAGGCAGGGGAATTGCGTGAACCTGGGAGGTGGAGGTTGCTGTGAGCTGAGATTGCGCTACTGCGCTTCAGCTTGGGTGATAGAGTGAGACTCCATCTAAAGAGAAAATTAGCTAGTCATGGTGGTGCATGCCTGTAGTCCCAGCTACTCAGGAGGCTGAGGTGGGAAGATCACTTGAGCCCGGGAGGAGGTCAAGGCTGCAGTGAGCTGTGATTGCACCGCTGCACTCCAGCCTGGGTGACAGAACGAGACCTTGTCTCAAAAATAAGTAAATTAAAAAAAAATTTAAATAAAATTCTCCAAGAACGGAAACTTTAAAACTTCCTCTCATGTTTCCTTGCTGTTCAACATTGTATCCATGGCTACCTGACATAATATGTTTGTTAATTGACTATCTTCCCTTCTGTGGGGTATTCCCTTCTGTGGGGTATCAAGGAAGGTAGGGCTTTTCTTGTGTTTGTTCATTGCTGTATGCTGGATATCTAGAGGAGTGCCTGACACATAGGAGGTGTGCAGTTTATTTATGAATGAATGACTTGATGAGCAGGAGTAGATAGATGTACAGTAGAAATGACAGGTTTTATTGTTTTTATTTTTAATACAGGTAGATCAGATGAATAAAATAGTGGAAGTTCTGGGTATTCCACCTGCTCATATTCTTGACCAAGCACCAAAAGCAAGAAAGTTCTTTGAGAAGTTGCCAGATGGCACTTGGAACTTAAAGAAGACCAAAGATGGAAAACGGGTAAAATAAGAATATATCTGTTTTGAGCCTTTATTAAGTTTATCATACCTGTCTTTTTATAGCTCATTTTGCATTTACTTGAAATCAGTGTTTCAGTCAATGATTTTATTGATACCTTACATAGATATTTTGTTCAGAAGTTGAGTATAGTTTGACCTAACTATCAGGTATGGACCAGTATTTGATTAATGGTCAGAGTTATCTTTAAAACTTCATATTAAAAACTGTATGCCTGCATTTTGAGGCAGCTGATCACATCACCATACTTTGTTTCAACAGAAGAATTAGTAAGTTTGACCTTTGTTTCTCACAGCTTGGGCATGTAGTGAGTTAATACTGCAGCTGTGAACAGAAGTCACAATTGGTGTAAATGATTTTTTTTTAAGTTCAGTTGGTAAATTATGTCAGAAGATGATTTTTGGCTTAAGTAGTATGTGATTTTTTTTCTAAGGATATTAACTACCTAGATAGTCCTTTGATAGACTTCAGATTCCTAGCTCAATGACTTGGATAGCAAAAATTTCACATCTCCAAAATCTTTGAAAGTGAGGTTTTTAAAACATTAGGTTTGTTTTGGTAATTTTCTTTTATCTGAGGACTTTTTAAAAGATACCTAAATTATGTCAATTTAATAGAGTAAATGATGCCCATTTTGCATCTTGATTTTTTACTTTTGTTTTATAGATCTGTAAACGTATGTTTTGTAATTTGGTCATAGTATTGAATGAATGTAATTTATAAATATGTGATTGAATATGACCCCACCCCCCCACACACATATGTACATACAGAAGTCACCTTGTGATTGAAGTTTTGCATTTATAACATTTAAGAGTTTATTTTTGTTTCAGTTATTATTTGCATTGTATTTTAGCGACACTGCCACCAGGTGTCATTTTCAGCAAACTGAAGGTGATGGTGGTTGATTGCCTTAATTCACTTCCACATAGCTGCGGAGTCATAACTTTTAATACCAGATTATTTTCTTTAGAATATTTAGAAGCACATATGTAACTGTATCTTTCAGAACTGATGTGTAAGTTATTGTGTTCTGCCATATTCACTAAAGCTGTAGGCAGTGCAGTTTCCAGCTGCTAAATTATGCCTATTCCCCATGAGGAAAGGATGGAAAATGCTATTGAGACCTCCTGGGCCCTTGTTTTTTCTTTATCCACATAGCTCATTAATCATGGCCCATTTTCCATATAACCAAAACTTAGCCTGGGAATCCTTACTAGCTTCACCAGCATTTAAAGGAGTTCCTACCAGTTTGAATTAGCATGGAGAGGAAATTAAATCTTTTTTATGTTGTCTCTCTCTGTGATACAGACTGCTGCTTTCTCCATTTCAGATTTATTTATTTATATTTTGCTTCTGCTATTTTTTCCTCAATAAAACATGCCATTCCATCTCTTAAGTCTCTGCCTTACAAAAACCACAGTGACCTATCATTTCTTTCAAATTGATCTATAGGTATTATTTTTAGTTATTTGGGGTGGGGGCATTTCAGAAATGAGTAGATTATCTTTTCCCTTTTAAAATTGGAAGTAGATAACATACATTTAATACATGTAAATTAAGTAGATTTTTATGAGATTTGTTTTAGTCACACTTAGCAGTTAACTTAAGCAGCTTAATTTTTAAAAACATGAAATATTTTGCTTTTAAGAGATAAATTTTGCAACAAAAAAATCAAATTCATTATCAAATTATTACATTACAAATGGTACACTAAGAATTTTGACCAGAGATACAAATAGATGTGCATGTACTTTCATTGGCTGTCTCTTTGTGGTTTATTTACTGATTTTATTTTTACTTTTACTTTCTCATTCTACATTTCAGAAGCCCCATATTAGGGTTTTCCAATAATGAAATAAATACTAGATATTTTTTTCTTGATGGAGGTGGAGAGTGAAGAAGACAATAAATGATGCTGTTTTTTGAAGTACAGTTTATAGATTGTAAGATACACAGATCTTAAGTATTGAGTTTGTTTTCACCTTTATGTACAGCAATGCCCCCCATCTACACCAATATGAAAGACTTCTCTCACCCCAAATCCTCTTGTGACCCTTTTCTGTTACCTCACTGCTTTCTGATTTCTGTCATCAAAGACTAGCTTTGCTTTTTCATTGGCAAACTTAGTATAAATGGAGCCTTATAGTATTTATTGTTTAGTTTTGGGTTTTCTTCACTCAATAAATGTATTGCTTTTGGAAATTCATCAATATTGTATGTCTTAGGAATTTTTTTTTATTGCTTCAAGATATTTCATTGAATGAACATGCCATAATTTATATTCACCTGTCAGTGGTCATTTGGTTTGTTCACAGTTTGGGACTGTTATGAATAAGGCTACTGAGAACACTCTTTCATACGTATGTTTTCATTTCCCTCACAGCACAATCTAAGAGAAGAATTGCCAGGTCATAGGGTATGTGTTTACCTTCACAAGAAAACACCAGTTCTCCAAAGTTGTTTTATTTTATATTCCCATGATATATGAGTGTTCCAGTTGCATGACATCCTCACTATTTTATATAGTTTGTCTGTTGGATTTTAGCCATTCTGTAGTGGATATGTAATGGTTTGCATTTGCATTTCTTCATGGCTAATGATACCACCTTTTCGTATGCTTATTAGCCTTGCATATATCTTCTTTGTCACAGGTCTTTCCCATCTTTTGCTTGTGTTACTGAGTTGTTTAATGACTGAGTAGTCCTTTGTCATTAAGTTTTTTTGTCACATATATGTCAGTGTATTTCCCTAGACTGTGGCTTGCCTGTTCCTTTCTTAATATGGTATCTTTTGATGAATAGGAAGTTTTAATATTGATGAAGTTGTATTTGTCAACTTTTTTTTTTTTTTGGTTCTTTTTTTATCCTGAGAAATCTTCGCCATCTCCAAGTTTGTGAAGATACTCTTCTATGTTTTCTTCTAAAAGGTTTTTTCTTTTTTTTAATCTGCTTTTTACAGTTAAGATTCTGTGGTCCATCTTGAATTAATTTTTGAGTGTGGAACAGGGTGAAGGAGTTGAAATTCATTTTCTTCCATATGCTTACGTCATAGTTACAGTAGCATTTGATGAAAGCAATTATTTTACCCTATTGATATGTTTTCAATTCTAGGTCCTTTCTATTCACACATGAATTTTAGAATCAGCTTGTAAATTTCTACCAAAAAATCATGCTAGCATTTTGATTTGAGTTGCAATTGGGGTTTCCGTCAGGAAAATGGACATCTTAACAATATTAAGTCTTCCACTCTATAAAGATGGGTTATCTCTCCATTTATTTAGGGCTTGAAATCTCTCAGCAGTGTTTTATAGTTTTTAATGCAGAAGTCTTACATATTTTGTTCACTTTATTCCTAAGTTTTTAATTTTTTAGATGCTATTTTAAATGACATTTAAAATGTATAATTTCATAATTTTTCATTTTTGGTATATAGAAATGCAACTGATTTTTGTATCCTAAGACCTTGCTAAATTCACCTATTCTAGTACAGATAACCCTTGAACAATACAGGTGTGAACCACACAGGTCCACTTGTATGCAGATTTTTTTCCAACAAATACAGTCAGTCCTCTATATCTGAGGGTTCCACATCTGCAGTCAAATGTGGATCAAAAATACAGTATTCCCTGGATGTGAAACCTGTGTATGAGGGCGAACTTTTCACATATGTGGGTTCCACACAGTCTCCTTGTGGAGCTTGAGTATGTGTGAATTTTAGTATATTTAGTGGGGGGATCCTGGAACCAACCCCCTGCATATACTGAGGGATGAATATATTTTCGTTGTTGAAATTTGATAGGGCTTTCTACTTAAACAATCTTATGCGCCATGAATGAAGACAAGTTTTATTTTTTCAATTGTATATCTTTTTTGCTTTTTTAATATCATGAGTGGGTTTTGAATATTGTCATGTTTTTTCTGCATCTATAGGGATCATCATACAATTTTTCTCCTGTTTTGTGGTAAAATGCATTAATTTTTTGAATGTTAAGCCCCACCCTATGAGAAACTACACTTGGCCTTGATATGCTATTCTCTTATATATATTGCTCAGTTCAGTTTGCTAGTCTCTTGGTAAGGAATTTTGTTTCTATGTCATTAATGGATATTTGTCTAAAGTTTTATTAATAATACCATCATTAGGGTTTGATTTTAGGGTTATGCTGGACTTGTGAAACTATTAGGAAATATTTTTTCTTGATTTTTCTGAGAAAATTTGCATATGATTGGTTGACATTATTTCTTTTGTAATGTTTAGTAGAGGTCATTGATGAAACCATCAGAACCTGGGGCATTTTTTGTTAGAAGGTTATTTCATTATAATTTATGTTTTTTGTTAAAAATATGGTTATCTAAATTTTTTAAGTTGGTTTTGGTAAGTTGTATCTTTCAAGAATCTTTTCCTTCTCACCTAAATTGTTGAATTTGTTGGCATAAAATTATCAATAATATTTTACTTTTTTTTTTTAATATCTAGAGAATCTATAGTGATTTTTTTTTTTTTTTAATTGCTAAGTCTCTCTTTTATTCCTGATATTGGCCGTTTGTACTTTCTGTTTTTTCCCCAAGTAGTCTTGCTCAGGGTTGATCAAGTTTATTAATCCTTTCAGACAACCAGCTTTTGACTTTGTTGATTTCTTTTTTTTTTTGAGACGGAGTCTCCCTTTCTCTCCCAGTCTGGAGTGCAGTGGCGCGCAATCTCAGATCACTGCAAGTTCTGCCTCCCGGGTTCACACCATTCTCCTGCCTCAGCCTCCCAAGTAGCTGGGACTACAGGCACCCGCCACCACACCTGGCTAATTTTGTGTATTTTTAGTATAGATGGGATTTCACCGTGTTAGCCAGGATGGTCTCGATCTCCTGACGTTGTGATCTGCCTGCCTCGGCCTCCCAAAGTGCTGGGATTACAGGTGTGAGCCACCGCGCCTGGCCTCTTTTTCTATTCTTGATCTAGTTTCTGGGTTTTTTTGCTCTTCATTATGTCCATTTACTTGGGTTGAATTTACTCCTTTTCTTGCTTCTTAAAGGTGGAAACTAGATCATTGATTTTTAAGCCTTTTTGCTACTATAGAATTTAATGGTATGAATTTCCCTCTAAGCACTGCTTTAGCTGCATTCTGCAGCTTTTTGTATGTTTTTGTTGTTGGTTTTTCTTTTTTGTTTTCTTTTTCTTTCTTTCTTTTTTTTTTTTTTGGAGACGGAGTCTCGCTCTGTTGCCAGGCTGGAGTGCAGTGGTGCAATCTTGGCTCACTTCAACCGCAGCCTCCCAGGTTCAAGCAACTCTTCTGTCTCAGCCTCCCAAGTAGCTGGGACTACACACACCCAGCTAATTTTTGTATTTTTAGTAGAGGCAGAGTTTCACCATATGACCAGGATGGTCTCGATCTCTTAACCTCATGATCCACCTGCCTTGTCCTCCCAAAGTGCTGGGATTACAGGCATGAGCCACCACACCTGGCCACTTTTTATATGCTTTAAACAGTCATTCTGAAATGTTTCTAACTTGTGATTTCTTCTTTAACCTGTCATTATTTAGAATTTTGTTACATAATTTCAAAATATTTGAGGATTTTCTAGATATCTTACTGATTTCTAGTTTAGTAGCAGTTTGGTCACAGAACGTGATTTCAGTCCTTTAAAACTGAGACTTGTTTTATGGCCTAGCATCTAATGTGTCTTTGTGAATGTTTTACGTGTGCTTAATAAGAACTGTATTTTGTGTGTGTTTGGTGTAGTGGTCTCCAACTATCATTGTAGATGAAATTGTTTTATATCTTTGTGTATGTGTATATTCTGTCAGTAATTGAGAGAGGAGTCTTTATTGATAAGTTTGGATTTGTCTTAGACTCCTTTGTAACATTGCTTTATGGTTTTTGAAGCTTTGTTAATAGGTGTATGCATGTTTGATATTGTTATGACTTACTAATAAATTGACCCTTTTATCATCCTGAAATGCTCCTCTTTGTCTCTAGTAATGTTTGTCTTTAAGTTTGCTTTGTCTGATACTACTGTAGTCTTAACCAGTATTCTTATTCTTGGTATTTTCATGGTGTGTGTGTGTGTGTGTGTGTGTGTGTGTGTGTGTAGATAAAAAAGATATGAAGAAAAGTATGCAACATGTGTATACACACACACACACTTTTACCCTTTTACTGTAAACCTGTGCATACCTTTATATTTACAGAATTATTTTTGTGTTGTGTGCAATATATGGTCAGGTCGTTTATTAATCTAGTCTGATAGTAGTTAACCCGTTATTCAGAGTTTTGGTTTAATTGCGTTCTGTTTGTCTTTCCTGTTCGTTGTTTCCTGTTCCTTCTTTCCTGCCTTTTGTGGGGAGGTTTGTTGAATACTTTTGGCATTTTATTTTATCTCCCATATTGATTTTTTACTTATTCCTCTATGTGTCATGTTTAGTGTTCCTTTTATAATATGCACCATTAACATTAGTTTACCTTCAAATAATAATATATTGCTTGTTAAACAGTGTGATAACCATGTGATTCTATCTACCTCTTGTGCACTTGTATTACTTTTGCATGTTACATCTCACAACACATTATTGGCTGTTTAAATAAAAAATAGATTTAAACGCACAAAAGAAATTTAAAAGCAGATAAAATAAGGATAATAGATCTTTTATATTTATCCTTATATTTGCTCTTTTCTGGTGTTCTTCATTACTTTTTGCAATTCCTAGCTTCCATCTGGTATTATTTCTTTAGCCTCAAGACCTTCCTTTAACTTTTATTTTATAATGAGTAAGTTATCCTAATGAATTCTGTCAACAGGTGTTGATCTGAAAATATTTGTTTACCTTTATTTTTTGGAAGATATTTTCAGTGAATATAGAATTATAGATTAACTTCTTTCTTTCAGCAAAAGAAAAAGATGTTACGATATTGCTTCCAGGTATATTGACTTTTTTTCTGGATTACACTGTTTCTGTAGAGAAGTCAGTGGTTATTCTTAGCATTATTCCCCTGCATATAATATTTCCCCCTCTTCCGTCTGGCTGATTTTAATGTTTTCTCTTTGTTTGATTTCTACAGTTTGACTATTTACCTACGTATGATTTTCTTTGTATTTATTCTCCTGGGAGTTCCCTGAGTTTCTTGAATCTGTGGGTTGACCTCTATCATCAGTTTTTGAAAATCCTCAGACATAGTCTTTCCAAATATTTGTTGTGCTTTCATCTTTCTTCTAGTTCTTCAGTGATATGTATGTTACAGTGCTGAATATTATCCCAGTGGTCTCTGATTTATTCATTCTGTTTTCTGTTTGTGTTTTTAATTTGGATAATTTCTTTTTCTATCTTCTGGTTTACTCATTTTGTTTTTCCTTGTGCTGAGTCCAGTCTGCTGTTGAATCTATTAAATGGATTCATGTGATGTTATTGTTATTTTTGAGACAGGTTCTCACTCTGTCGCCCAGGCTAAAGTGCAATGGTGTGATCATGGCTCATTGCAGCCTTGACTTCCTTGGCTCAAGGAGTTCCTCTGCCTCAGCCTCCCAGGTAGCTCAGACTACAGGAGTGGTACAGGCACCATACCCAGCTGTTAAAATTTTTTGTAGGGACGAGGTCTGGCTATGGTCCCTAGGCTGGTCTTGAACTCCTGGACTCAAGCAGTCCTCCCACCTCAACCTGGGTATAGAGACATGAGCCCAGCCTATATTTTTTAGTTCTGGCATTTCTATTTTGTTTTAAATATAGTTTTTCTCCTCTGAAATTCTACATCTGTTCATATGTTGTCCACCTTTTGAACTAAATTGTTTAATTATCATAATTTATTAGAAGTAATTTATCGTAATTATTTTAAAGTTCCAGTCTGCTACTCTCAACATCTGTACCATTTATTTATGTGTATCTTCTACTGGGTTTTTTTCCTTTCATGTGATTGTGGACGTCGTTTTTTAAAAATGTCTGTAATTTTAAAATGTGTGACAAACTTTCCTTGCTTAAGAACAGTTAAAGATGAGTCATATTTTCCCTCAGAAAGAGGCCTCTTACTCTGTCGGGCCCCTCATGTGGGGCTGATTTGATTTCTTTTGTAGCTTAGCTGCCTGTAGGCTTTGCTTGTTTGACTTAGATTCTATTCCCCATTGTCTTCAGATGTTTTGAGCTGGGATCACGACATTCGCTTCAGCAGTGTTTGTGTCTTTAGAACCAGGGAAAATCTAGTGGTCTCTATACATTACTGCCCAGCCAGCAGCCCCACTCCTAACCCTCCGTGCCTGGGAGATCGCCTTCCTCCCGCTGTACTGCCCCATCCTTCTGTCTGTCCACACCTGACCGTCAGAAGTTGGTTCAGACTTGGGCTGGAGTCTTCTCGCTCACCTGTGGCGTGCTTCTCTTTCTCCCACTGCAGATCTCTTCCAGGAGAGACTTTTCATTTTGTAGAATTCAGGGGATTTTTGTTCCAACTTTGGATCCTCAGGCAGCTCTCTGATGGGTCTTTAAAAGTCAGTGATTTTATGACTTATTAGAGAAGGAACAATCATCTCACACATTTCTGCATTGTAACTAGAAGTCAAAGTCTGGTTATGCTATTCTTAATAAATTCCATATTTATAGAGGTTTTAAGGGTTATACTGTTATCTATCAAAAAATGGGTTTTCAGGGAATCTGAACACACGTTAATTTATTATTACATAGATTTTCTAAAGGGAAGCATACATAATTTTCTCTTTTTCTACTCTGAGCAGGTAGGGTTAGGCGAGTGCCTTTTTATGTAGAACATCCTTGGTGTGATTGCCATAGCTTTCTTGGGCTGCTGTTGGTGAAGGAAGTGTAGCAGGTGCCGAGGGTGCACAGTTAGGCAGGAAAGAGGCTACCAGCCAGGGTGGGCAGGGGCACGCGTGCTCTCTGTAAAAGATGAGAGAAAATGCTTTCAGCCTTGTGGGCCTCTGTTACATGTTTTTTGGTTTTGGTTGCTTGTTTTTACAACCTTTGAAAACAGAAAAAACGTTTGTAGCTGGTGCTATAGAAAACCAGGCTCTGGATCAGGCCACAGTTTACTAACCCCTGGGCCATTTATAGCCATTTTTGGTCTCAGAATTATGTTGAACTGTAACTGCCATGCATTTGGGATACTAATGTGTGAAAAGGCAGAGGATTTAATTATGAAGTGTCCTTTTTAATAAAGGCCTCAACATATATTTAAACACATTTGAAGTTAAATTATGTGAGTGTTTACGTATTCCACCAAATTTAGAGAAAGCCTTTCATCTTCTCTCTTACAGGAGTACAAACCACCAGGAACCCGTAAACTTCATAACATTCTTGGAGTGGAAACAGGAGGACCTGGTGGGCGACGTGCTGGGGAGTCAGGTCATACGGTCGCTGACTACTTGAAGTTCAAAGACCTCATTTTAAGGATGCTTGATTATGACCCCAAAACTCGAATTCAACCTTATTATGCTCTGCAGCACAGTTTCTTCAAGAAAACAGCTGATGAAGGTACAAATACAAGTAATAGTGTGTCTACAAGCCCCGCCATGGAGCAGTCTCAGTCTTCGGGCACCACCTCCAGTACATCATCAAGCTCAGGTCTGTGTTGCTGCGGTTAGATTAGGCTTGGGAATGTTTTGTGTTTTCTTTATGAAGTGGGATTACTTTAAAGTGTTGATTAAATTTGTTAATTTAATGGGGAGCATTTACTTAAATCTGTTCTTTATAGTTAGCAATAAATTCATCTCCCCAAAGCTCCAATATTTAGTTACGCATGTAATAAATTCTGTTTGGCAGTTGGAAATCTATTTACTAACCAGCAGTTTAAACTACTTCTTAAATGGAATTTTTGTCCACATTGCTTGAGTTTTCCCACAAGGGGAAACCAGACTTCATTGTGTTTTAGTTCAGTGGTGGACGAGAGAGAACCTGGTTTTAGTCAGAGTATGAAGACTTTGTGATATACTTTCAAGTTAATATTAGAGATTTTGTGGTGTGTGTGTGAATACTTCCAATTTTAATGGTATAGTTTCAGAGTATAAATTTGAACAAATTGAATTTTAAACTCACAGTTGTATTGTTTTGTGTTATGATATTTCAGGTGGCTCATCGGGGACAAGCAACAGTGGGAGAGCCCGGTCGGATCCGACGCACCAGCATCGGCACAGTGGCGGGCACTTCACAGCTGCCGTGCAGGCCATGGACTGCGAGACACACAGTCCCCAGGTGAGCTCGCACATGGTTCATTTGCTTGTGTCACCTGCCGTGCTCAGGTAGAGCAGCACTGGATGCCAGGTGCCTTTAGAATGACCGTATCATTTACCCTAGAAGTTCATGATGTTCTGCTGTCTAAGAAACTATCAGTATTTATCATAGAGAAGCACATTCTTGCAGTTGTCCTCCTCCTTGTCTAGAAGTGGCTAACACTTACTGGGGGCATAGCAGTTGTTTTGAACGGTTTCTTCCCTGTGTTTATCTCATTTACCAAAGCAGCTTCCCATTTTACAGTGGAAACTGAGACTTCATGGGCTGAATAAATTTCCCTGGGTCATGATATTAATGACTCGACTCTGCTTCCTCCCATGATTTTTTAGCACTTGTAGTCCTGGATTATGAATCAGTTTCTGGTTTGATTTTAACCTTTTTTTTGTTGTTGTTTTATTTGCTTTCTGTTTTTAAACCTGTTGAAGAAGAGGATCTAATTAAGTACTTTTTCAAAATTGGAGTGAAGCAGATGGTGATGGTGAAAATATTTAAATCATCTGATAAAGTTGTAAGTTGGTTCATACAGAATTTTGCATGGTGGTGTTTGAAGGTGAGAGGCCAGTGTAGTATTTGATGGATGAGTAAACTGCTGTTGAAGAGCGCTCTCCATTCTTGTGACTAAGGCAGCTGAATGAATGGTGCTGGAGAAAATCCCACATGCAGCTGTTTGTCAGCACTGTTAATACTCACCAACCACTGCTGGGCAGTCTTACGTGTTTCCCGAGTTGTCCCATCCTCTGCTGTTCTCTTTAATAATAGTTTCAAACTTTCTGCTCTTAGAAACCTTTGCCCTCCCCTTCTCTGTTCTCACCCAGTCTTTGCATTGTAAGGAAAAGAGTCTTCAGACAGGAACTCTTTCCGCTTTGTAGCATTGAATACATGATCCTGCCTGTGTGTGCACTGTCCACTTCTCTACCCCTTTTTTGTTAGGAGCAATGTATTTTCTTTTTGCCTAAGGCCAAGCCTACTCATTGCCCCGATCCCCTCTCTCCTGCCGTCATGGGGACTTTGCCCTTTGGTCTCCCTCGGCTCTGGTGTCTTCATTCTCTCTTCTTGTGGCTTTTTCTGTTGATCAGCATTTCCTCATCCTCGGGCCTCTCCCATCTTAAGCAGCACCTTTGCGTGTCCCCCTTTCTTTCCCTGTACTACTGCTGCCTGTAGTCTTTGTCTCTTTACTCTGAAGACCTCCTTGCCTGTTCCGCTTAGGTCCTGCCCTCCAGCTCTCCTGCCGGTGTCAGCGGTGACCTTCATTGATGGGTCCAGTGGACACCCTAATGCTATCTTTCTGCATTCTACAACTTCATTTGGAAGTGTTGACTTTTACCCACTCTTTGAAATACTCACTGCTGGTTTCCTTGGGAGGATGATTCTCTGTCCCCCCATTTCTCTGCCCCTTCCTTCACTGTCTCTTTGTTTGTTTTTTTTTCTTCTACCCACCCCTGAAACCTGAGTGTTCCTCGAGGCGTGACACGTGTCCCTGCCCTACTCCCCTTAATGTTTCCTCGATGATTTCAGCCACACGTGCCGGGGCCTGCAGTCACCATCTTCATGCCAGTTGCTCTTAAGTCTTGACTTCTGACTTAGACTTCACTTCTGAACCCCTAGGGCCTTTCTAATTGTTTACTATGAATGTCACCTTGAAAGTCTCAACAATATGTGCACACACAGCACATAAACTGGTGTCATCATTTCACTTCCTTCCCAACTCTTCTACTTTTGCCATTCTTTGTAAAAATGGCCCTAAATTTACCCATTTGCTCAAGTCATAAATCTGGGGGCACTTCTCTCTCCGTCTTTCCCCACACTGAATCAGAGAGTAAATTATCTGGATTCACCACATCTTAATACGTTTTTATTCTCCACCTTTCACTTTGCCTGGTTGTTATGACCTGTCTTACTAGAAAGAGTTTTGGAGTGTCTAAAACGGTTGTGGAGTGTCTAATTCCATTCACCTGTCAGCACCATTCTCTTCCGTGCAGCCAAGTGAGCTTTCTCTAAAGCAGTCTGTTCTTGCTATTTTCCCTACTCTTTTTTTTTTTTTTTTTTTTTTTCTGAGGTGGAGTCTCACTCTATCTCCCAGGCTGGAGTGCAATGGCATGATCTCTGCTTATTGCAACCTCCGCCTCCTTGGTTCAAGCAAGTCTCCTACCTCAGCCTCCTGAGTAGCTGGGATTACAGACACATGTCACCATGCTGGCTAATTTTTCTATTTTTAGTAGAGATGGGGTTTTGCCATGTTGGCCAGACTGGTTGTGAACTCCCGACCTCAGGTGATCTGCCCATCTCGGCCTCCCAAAGTGCAGGGATTACAGGCATGAGCCACCGCACCCGGCCTATTTTCCCTACTTTAAACCAGTTTTGACTTGCCCTTCTACCTGAAATGAAATGTAGACTTCTTACCAAGGCATTGGTGCTTTGTAGGTTCTGGTCCCCACCGAGGCCATTCTTTCTCCTCTTCACTCACCCTAGTCACACTGATTTATTTTTCACTTTGTGTAATATGCCACGTTCTCTCTCTCTTTTCTCACATTTCCTGTGCTCTCAGCCTGGAATACTCCTTTCCTCCTCGTTTTGCTTTGGTAACTACTATTTATGCTTCAGGTCTTAAGTATCACTACTCCCATGGGCTCTCTCTAAATCTTTAGACTATCCGCCTGTCTCGTCTTCTTCCCTTTCTTTCTTCCAGATCTATTCCATACTGCAAACATTTACAAGAGTAGCATAAGACACCGTGTTCCTCCCACCTGGATTTCACAGAGGTCAAGATTTTGCTTCAAATCCTTTTTTATTACTTAATTTTTGAGTGGTTGCTATAGTCACATGGTTTTAAAAATAAGTAAATATAAAAGGGAATTCAGTGAAAGGTTTTCCTTCCTTCCATGCCTTCTAGCCCCTCAATTTCTAAACCAGTGTTACTAGTTTATTAGTTTTTTGTATACTTCTGGAGATATTTTATACATATTCAAGCAAATACAAATACATACTCTTCATCCACCCTTTGTACACAAATAGTACCATACCAGGCAAACTGTTTCAAAACAACTTGGTTTTTCTAGTCTTGACATGTATTTTGGAGCACTCTCTGTATCAATACATAGAGAGCTTTTTCATTCTTTTATTTATTTGCACAGTATCCTGTTAGATATTCCATAAGTCTTTTCACCATTCCCCTATTGTTTGTTTATTCATGTATTTATTTATTTTTAGAGCTAGGGTCTTGCTCTGTCACCCAGGCTGGAGTGCAGTGGCGCAATCACAGCTCACTGCAGCCTTGAGCACCTGGGCTCCAGTGATCCTCCCACCCCAGCCTCCTAAGTAAATGGGCCTACAGTTGTGTCCCAGCACACCCTGCAGTGAGGTCTCACTATGTTTCCCAGGCTGGTCTTGAACTCCTGGGCTGAACTGATCCTCCCACCTCAGCCTTCCAAAGTGCTGGGATTATAGGCGTGTGCCGCTTTGGCCACCAGTCCCCTATTTATTAATGGGCGTTTAGTTCATTTCCAACCTTTTTTACTATTTACAAATGGTACTTTAATAAATAATCCTGTACAGTAGTGTCCCTTCTTATCCACGGTTTCAGTTATTCAGTCAATCATGATCCAAAAATATTAAGTGGAAAATTTCAGAAATAATTCATAAGTTTTAAATTCTGTTACGAGTAGCACGATGAAATCTCATGCTGTCCCACCCTAGGTGTGACTCATCCCTTTGTCTAGCGTGTCCACACAGTAGATAAGTTACTTTGTAGCCATCCAGATTATCAGATCAAAAAACATAGTATATAGAGGGTTTGGTCCTCTGCAGTTTCAGGCATCTGGTGGGGATCGTGGACTGTATCTCTTGCGGATAAGGAGGCACCACTGTATGTGTCTCATTCACACATACACATTTTATCTGTGATACAAATTCCTGCAAGCAGAATGACTGTTTCAAAGGGTAACGTGATTTATAATTTTGATAACTATTGCCAGATTGCCCCCATGTGATTTTCTAATCCAGTAACTTGATTAACTTCATATATAAACAATTAGTATTTTCTTTTCTGAGAACTCACTGCCAACTTTTCTACTGATTGTTTTCAGTAGTATCTCTTAAAAGTTTGGTTCTCAGACCACCTTCGTTGAATAAACACTTAATTTGTGCCAGCCACTGGTGATAGAGACTGAGCCTTTTGCCTTCCTAGAGCTTACAGTGACACAAGTAAATAAAATGAACATGAATAAAAGTGGCAAGTAGCGTTAGCTCTTAAAAAGAAAATAAGAGAATGACTTATTCTCTTATTAATGACTGTTGGATAGGATGTATTAGAGTAGGCCAAACTCTGATATGACAGATAGACCCCCAAAATATGGTAGCTTAAGGAGTACCAAGTTTCCTTCATTTTTGTCTAACAGTCCAGAATAGGTGTTCAGGTTAGTGGCTAGGCTGTCTTCCAGGTCCTGTTTCCTACCATCTTGTGGTTCCACCATGCCCTAGGGCCTAATTGTCTACTGTGTCTACTGTGTCCAGCAGGCAGAAGGACTTGGGAGGTACTGTTTTGTGTGCCAGGCTAGCAGTGACATACAAAGTTTCATTCACATTCCGTTGACAGCTTAGACATATGGCCATCAGTGAGTACAAGGGAGGTTGGGAAGTGTTGTGTAGCCATGTGCTCAGGAACGAGAAGAATACTGTGCACAACCTGTAGCTTCTACCACAGTGGTTGACGCAGTATCAGTCAGAGTGGTCAGGGAAGGCTCTGGAACTGAAGTGATGAAAAAGAGACATCCAAGCAATAAGAAAATCCGAGAAATAAGAACATTTCTAGGCAGAGGGGAGCAGCGTGTTATTAGTACACTGAGGCATTTGAGAGATAGTGACCCAGGGGAGGAATGGAAGGCAAGCCGCCTTTGGTTGGAACCCAGGTAGCCAGGGATAGGATGGGTGGAAAAAGAGGTTGGAGAAGTGGGCATTGGCCAGGTGATGCAGACCGTTGTATCCGTTTGGGATTGTTTTGTTTTTCTAAGTGCAGTGAGAAGTCATTAAAGGATTTTAAATAAGGAAGTGATTGGATTTGTGTTACAAAAAGATTGTTCCTGCTACCCTTTGGAGAAGGGCAAGGATGGAAGCAAGGAGTTCATTTAGGGGGCTGTTATGTTAGCCTAGGCAAGAGGAGGTGGTGGGGATGAAGAGAAGAGGCCAAATTTGGCATCTGTTTCATAGGTGGACGCGTAAGTTCTTGCTCATGGGTTGGACAGAGGCATTGTTAAGCAGCTGGGTAGATAGTAGTCCTTTATTGAAAGAAGAAAGGTGGAGAGAGGAAGGACATGAGGGATAAGTAAAGACTTCCTTCTGGACCTGTCTAGAATACTATCTGGCCTTTTTTGGGGAATATTTGCAGACCCCTAGCATAAACAGTGCTCCCAAGGGAAGACAGTGGCTAGTGAAATAAATGAACCTATTTAAGGATATAACTTTCTACAAATTGCAGCTTTCATGATGAAATTTTTTTGCCCTTGAATGTATTTGGGATGTTGTGTTATAAAACCATCTAACACATTAAAAGTTTCAAAAACACTTAACCCGTGATTAATGTAATGCTAGTTTGTGTCATCGCTTTTGATGGAAGATTGAAGCTTGGAAACAGTCCTCTGAAAAATCCTTTAAAAAATCTGTTCTTTCAGGTGCGTCAGCAATTTCCTGCTCCTCTTGGTTGGTCAGGCACTGAAGCTCCTACACAGGTCACTGTTGAAACTCATCCTGTTCAAGAAACAACCTTTCATGTAGCCCCTCAACAGAATGCATTGCATCATCACCATGGTAACAGTTCCCATCACCATCACCACCACCACCACCATCACCACCACCATGGACAACAAGCCTTGGGTAACCGGACCAGGCCAAGGGTCTACAATTCTCCAACGAATAGCTCCTCTACCCAAGATTCTATGGAGGTTGGCCACAGTCACCACTCCATGACATCCCTGTCTTCCTCAACGACTTCTTCCTCGACATCTTCCTCCTCTACTGGTAATCAAGGCAATCAGGCCTACCAGAATCGCCCAGTGGCTGCTAATACCTTGGACTTTGGACAGAATGGAGCTATGGACGTTAATTTGACCGTCTACTCCAATCCCCGCCAAGAGACTGGCATAGCTGGACATCCAACTTACCAATTTTCTGCTAATACAGGTCCTGCACATTACATGACTGAAGGACATCTGACAATGAGGCAAGGGGCTGATAGAGAAGAGTCCCCCATGACAGGAGTTTGTGTGCAACAGAGTCCTGTAGCTAGCTCGTGACTACATTGAAACTTGAGTTTGTTTCTTGTGTGTTTTTATAGAAGTGGTGTTTTTTTTCCAAAAACAAAGTGCAAAGCTGCTTGAATCAGAAGGAGATTAACACACTGAACCGCTACAAGAGGGCAAAGCTGACTTTTTTTTTTTTTAACTTGAAAAGATTGCAAAGGGACATTGAAGTGTTTAAAAGAGCCATGTCCAAACCCATCTTCATGGATAGCTCAGAGGTATCCTCTTTTTGCTCCCCCATTTTAACTTGCCACATCCCAGTCATAGTGGGTTTTTTTGGTCTTTCTATTCAGCAAAAATATTCAGATGTTGGTCTTGGTCATTTGCCAACTAATTTTAAAATAAAAGGCACTGCACATAATTTGCATAAAGGGCCCATGAGGGTGTTTTTTTTTCTTTTTGTCCCCCCTACTATTTTTTTGTTCTGTTTTGTTTTGGGTGGGAGGGTGGGAAATTCGGGTTTTTAAGTCCTCTAAACACACTTGGGCACGGAAATGCAGTACTGTAAGGAAGAGGGACCTCCAGCTTCCACAAACACCATCTTCAGCTGTATGAAAGGGACGGTTGTGTTGAAGTTTGTCAGGCACAGTAAGCATGCTGAGTGGCGGGGATCAGAACTCTCCTATCTGAACCTACTGAGGATCAAAGCAGCAATTACATGGGATCCTGTGGCTCTCCTGTTGTAGAGGCCACAGGAAGATAGGATGGAACGTGACTGGTCTCCTAACCAAGGTGCACTGAGAAGCAATCAACGGGTCAGTCGTGGCCAGTCCTGGGGAGGTCTGAGTGGTGGTCTTTGGGATAACCTTTGGCCTTATGGATTTGGACTCGAAATTAGAAGAGCCTACCATTTCAGATGCAATCACTTTTGGACATGCTTTTGCAGACAGTCCTTAATGCTGAAAACACAGAGAATGGGTAATTCAAGAGGCCTTTCTTTTAAAATAGACTTTTGTGACCCACTAATTGTAAGGTATTGCAAGGTCACTTTGCGTGTGTCATAAAGTTGACTTCCTTATTGGTTGAAGGTCACAGAAGTAGTGGTTTGCTTTGATGGAAATAGCTACAGCTGTGTCCCTTCCTGCTTTTTACTTTTTCTTTTGCTTTTTCTCGGCACGTGGTATCTCCACCATTTCTTCTGCACAAAGATGTCTTCTGTTCATCCTGAACATTTTTAAAAAATGCAGAATTTTATGTGACTGCTTTTTTGCCTCACAATTATGCTGTGAATTTTACAAAAATTTATTTTCTTTTTTGATAATTTATTGTACCAAAGCTGTTTTTATAGCACATAGATGTCTGTAACCAATAATGTAGCAGTTCTGCACTTTGACACAAGGTGTAACTAGACCATTTTTAAATGTCAGTTGAAAATTATGGCTGTACTATTGCTTAAACAAAACTGGAACTGTTGTTGAATCCATAGCCAATACATTTACAGCAATCTGTGTACTGAACATAATAGATTGACATCTAATTCAAGATTACAACATCTGTTACATTCTAAGTGTGTTCAGGCTTCTGAAGGTAAAGGGACACTGGATCCAGAAGCTATGGAACCAGCAGTTGATTCTTGTATTCCTGATTAACCTACTTGTAAACTTGAAAGCAAGACCTTGATTGCACCAACAGGTCCAGAGTATGAGCGCAAGTAAAGCAGAACTCTCGTGCGTGACCTGAGCAGACAGGCTGGTATTATTAACAGGTGCCTCGTGTTGAGATTACGCTGCCTTAATGTAACACAGTCTGGCAGTTGCTAAATTTGTGTTCCCATTTTAAATTGACCAATTTTGGGGTGTGACACTTTTGAGCGGTTGAATTGGGAGAATGAAGTAATTTACCTGTCCAGGATCAAAAGAAGCCTAGAAAAGAAGCAGTAATCTACCTCTGCCGCTAACCTGTTTTAAGACGACTCAGCAGAACACCGCCTTTCATTCTATTGGGCAATTCCATGTGGCTGACTAGGTCAATTTTTTTTCTGAACAAAAGCAGGTTTTTATATGTAAACAGTGACAAAAGAAAGGCTAAACACTATGTAAATGTGAATGGAAACTTGGAAATATTCGTTTTTATAAACTACAGAAATTTTTTGTTGTTTATCAGGAAATCCATATTTATTTTGTAATTAACTGTCAAGCCTGTGGATGATTTTTTTGAACTTGGTAGTTCTTAAAGGTTTACAGTGAATAAAAGGATATCATCTTGAGTATAGCAATATCAAAAGGAATTCAGTAGTTACTGCTGTTTAGGAATATAAGGTTAAGATATCATATGGGTCAGGTCATTTTTTTTCTGTGCTGGTTGCCACATCTTAGCAAGCACCAAAAAACTAAAGCAGTTTTTAAACCGATATTTACATAAAGAAAATCATAAAATCCAATGCTTCTGCATACTGTGTTATGTTACAGTCCAGTTTTGTGTGCTTTACTACACAGTTTGGTTACAGGACTTCTGTGCATTGTAAACATAAACAGCATGGAAAAGGTTAAATACCTGTGTTCAGATTGTAAGATCTAGTCCGGACTTGCTGTGTATATTGTAACGTTAAATGAAAAAAGAACCCCCCTTTGTATTATAGTCATGCGGTCTTATGTATGATAAACAGTTGAATAATTTGTCCTCAGACTCTTTACTATGCTTTTTTAAAATTAATTTAAGAAAAATGTAAACATAGTAAAAATCTTCCTATGCAATTAACCTGGTCCAGGTCTGGTAGGTATACTATCAAAGTTGAGTTAAATGTGTAAAAAGGAAACTATTTGAGATACATCGACATAGGCATCAGCAATCTCTGAAAGTAAAAATTGGAGGTTTAACAGATCATTTTGATTTTTCACATTGATTTTTTTATTTGAATGCTTACATAATATTTTTGTGGTTCAAAATGCTAGTGTTTTAGTTGGTAGCATTTAGAATGGATGGTGAAGGTCTGGTGGTTTTCTCTGATACGCTTTGACGTGCTTGGATGAAAGAGGGAATACGAATACTCATTCTTCCTTCCCCAAATCTTCATATGGGGACATATCAGAATTCTAGAATTCTTGCCACTGTGATTTAGTTGGTAACCTAAAGTCTTCTCTTCTTACAAATTAACCTGTTTCAGTATATATTAAGGTGGCTTTCAAAAGGTAAGATACTTACTTAAAAGTTAAGTGTGAGTCTGTAAAATTAAGGTTGGTTGCGTAAAGTTGAAGTTAACCACATGTAAGAAAGGAAAACTTACATTAGTTTTATTTCTTAGGGTGTGAGAATTTTACCTCGGTAAAGGGCACATTTTATGATATTGGGCTGAAAAAAAAAAAAACACGACTTATTTTTATTTAAAACTACATGTAGAAAATCATGAAAGATTCAGTAATTGTGTTAGGCCCACAAGTGACCATTGAGCTTGCCCCTGTACTGCTTCCCAGCTTTTGTGGTGGTGAACTTAACTGTTCTGTTCTTCCAACAGGGAGATACATAATCAAAATACACGTGAAGACGAGATAGCAGGCACTCAGTTCTAGGCCAGTTTCTCAGTTTCCTTTGGGCCTGCCTTTATTTTGATAGCCCTCAGAATACAAGTTCAGACGTGGTCCGGCGCATTCCAGGTGGTATCTCCATAGACACAAGTTCAAGACTCATTTTTATGTTCCTTTTTATAGTGGTAGACTGTATGTAATCAACTGGATGGTTCATTTCAAATACATGACTTGGTCTTAGTGCCATATATGAAGGAAGTTTGAAAATGTAATGGGGACAAAAGCTGTGTGTGACTTCGGTATACCCAGACTTTATTCAGATTTCTTAAAAATCTGCTAGGGATGTCTGTTGACCAGACGTTGGAAAACCTTTGGTGTCAGGGACAGTAGAGCAGAAGTTCTGACTTTCTAACCCTGGCTCCTTATCTAGGCCTGTTTCCTTGGATGAAAACATACATCATCAAGTAATTTGTGGTACAAAGAACAAGAGAAGAAACCCTAAGAAGACAGCTTATTTGTTATCCTCCCTTTTTATGACTAACCTTAATCCCAGTGAATCCACTGAGAACCAGCCTGTGGATGCCTGCTGGGCTTTCACAGTGGGCCAGGAATGTTTGACGTATATCTGTGTTGAAAGCAATGGATGCTTGTTTGGTGGAAGACGTGTTCACTGAGGTAAGTGGCTCATCGCTTGCTGTGTTTGGCTCTCTCTCCGGCATTATACATAGCCAAGGTCCCAGATTTTGACTGCTCTCAGTGGGTGTTCTTGCATCAGAACTTTTAAAAAATAACACTACCTTAACACTGAGACTGTCAGGTGTTTGTCAGTATTTACTTCTAATTTCCTACTTTAAACCTTAAGAGACAAGGTATTTCTCCAACTGGACACTGATTTGAAAGACAATAACTAGAATGCTACAGGTTTCTCTTCCAGTATGCGGCTGCTTTACCTGAAAACTTTTCCCCATAATTTCTCATCTTTAGGGTATGTCCCTGTTATTAAAAAACAAAACAAAACAAATGTGGAATTAATGTGGGTAAATTTCCATTTCAGTTGAATTTCCTGCCATCCGCAGCAAAACCTGTGAATGCTTCTTCAAAGCATTGAGGAGGCAGAGACAAGCCTTAAACCAGCTTCCTTCTGCTCTTACCAGGTAGCCTGGTTCAGTCCCAGCTGGGTCCTGAAGGAGCACAGTACTAGAGTCTGAGTCATGTTGATGAATAAAGTGCATTAAGTTTGGGTCAGGCAAAATGGTGGCAAAAGTTCATGATGCAGGACAGAGGAAACAAGTGGACAAGACAAGTGGAGCCCAACTCTGTTCCAAAGGGAGGCCGGGCGATGTCGTCATGGGCATGGTCAGCCGAGTTCTCATAGCTAGAGAAAGGCCGTGTAGGTGTTAGAGCTTAACGTGTCATCTGTTCGAAAGACCAGCTATTTTATAATCTTCCCGATTAAATTTCTGAAATTGCTACCTTGGGGATTTTTTTCTTTATTCCTATGAAGTTTTACTTCCATTATATACTCATTCATTAGTCAGTGTACTTGCCCCTGAATTTCGTATCTGAAACTGCAGTCCAGGCAGAGATTCAGAGCCAAGGGCAAAATGAAGTGGCAGGCGCTGGGTATGTGTGGTAGTTCTGCACTAGGGCGGGCAGGAAGCAGCCAAGCAGGTGTGCCGGGTGGGGGATTATTAACGAACACCCAGGCAAGAAGACGGGCCTGAGCCTGAGTGTGGTCAGCAGAAAGTGTTTTGCTTAAAAGAGACCCTGGGATGATGACTTGGGAATCATCCTCCACTCATTGTTACACAGAAAGACTGCAGAGAAGGGCACTGCTGGGGTGGGGTTTGTTCACTCCCTCTGAAATGAAAGAAAATACCTCTAGTGGCATGATACGGTTAAGTTTTTTTAATGGTATTTCTTTTTTAGAGACGGTGTCTGGCTTTGTCACACAAGCTGGAGTTTAGTGGTGTGATCGCAGTTCACTGCAGCCTTAAACAACTGGGCTGAAGTGATCCTCCCATCTCAGCCTCCCAAGTAGCTGGGACTACCGGTGCACAACCACCATGCCTGGCTAATGTTTTTAATATGGGGTTTTGCTGAGTTGCTCAGGCGGTACTCAAACTCCTGGCCTCAAGTGATCCTCCGGCCTGGGCCTCTCAAACATAAATAGGCTGGGCATGGTGGCTCACGTCTGTAAAGATTTAAAGCGGAATGCAGTGAAATAGCATGAGAAAAAGCGTTTTAATGGACATCACAGACAAGCCTTGTTCTGCTGAAGAGGTGATGCTGCGAGGTGGGCTGGAGCTCACTTCAGGCACCACTCCCACTTCCATTGCCCGCAAATCCAAGAAAGAAATGACTAATGAACTGTAGTGATCTCAAACTGCTAAATCAGTTTAAAATCATCAATTTAAAATGACTTTCCAACCTTGCTGCACTTTAAACTCATCTGTAGAACTTTATAAAACCACAGATGCCCATCACACTGGCAGAATTTTAGATTCAGAGTTGGGGTGGGGCCTGGAGCTGTTTTCTGAAACTTTGCGGGCGATTCTGAACCTGCAGCCAGGCAGGACTCTGGCAAAAAGAGGCATGTGGCTAATCTGACGGAAGTCTGAATCCAAGAACTTTTTTTTTTTTTTTTTTGAGACAGTCTTGCTCTTGTCTCCCAGGTTGGTGTGCAGGGGTGCGATCTCAGTTCACTGCAACCTCCGTTTCCCAGATTCAAGCGATTCTCATGCCTCAGCCTCCCAAGTAGCTGGGATTACAGGTGCACACCATACCAGGCTAATTTTTAGATTTTTGGTAGAGATGGGGGTTTCGCCATGTTGGCCAGGCTGTTTTGAACTCCTGACTTCAAGCTATCCACCCACCTCGGCCTCCCAAAGTGCTGGGATTACAGGCATGAGCTACCACTCCCAGTCCCAAGAACATCTTGAAATGGAGTTTGATTACCAAAGTTTACATAGAGTAATGGAGAATTAAAATTTACAATTTATGGTGCATTACGAAATGTTATAAACAAGCCTTCGAGAAAGGCAGAAATTGCCAGATGTAAGTATATAAAACTTACACAATTTGTTCCTTTTTGTCTTCTTCCTTGTGGGGATGGGTCAGTGTGACATCCTATTCATTAATAGCTCTCAGATGTCCCACAAGAATGGTACACGTTATTTCCCAACAGTGGGAATGGGATTGGTTCCTTTATGTCTCAGTCTCATTTGGTCTTGTAAGCCCATGAAGGGTTTCCTAGGGGACCAGCCACAAGCTCTGTATAGTAGTCAGAGTTTCCCTCTCTAGAATCCCAAAGAGGTTCAGATCCCACTGCTCCTCTTGTTGGCTTCATGACCCTGGGCACGCTGCTTTACTTGCCCAAGGATCACTCTACTCTTTGTACAATGAAGATATCCATAATGTCCACTTAGGAGATAGTGTGCGTGCCTCAGTGAGGTAATGTCCACAGAAAGCACAATGCCTAGTATATAAGAAGTGTCCAATAAATACAATACGTGGCTATACAGAGTGGAGTCCACAGCCTAAATGGAACTTCCTATTTCTTCGTAAATACAACAAACGGTGCAGGAAAATGGGGTGGGCAGTGTTCTCCGTGGAGGGCTAAACAGCATTGCTTTCCAGCTGACTCTTATATTTGGAGTCTGGGACTAGGTGTTAACATTACTAGTTGGTGTTGCGTCCTGCACAGTCCCTGTATCTATTTCAGAATTTTGAGGTTTGTTGTGGGGAGTTTTTGGGTAGTTTGCTTTGCTTGATAAAATATATGATATTTAAATGTTGTACAAGGATGGGTTTTCAGTAGAATTTTTCTATGCAACCTCAGGGAGACTGCCTGGAGGAGTAACTATGGTAAGGGTCTATTTTTGAACAAGCATTGTCATTAGACCCTTGTGATCACTTGTCCAGGGGCCAGTCCCCACCCTTTGCTCCCACTCCAAGGAAAGTCTGTTCCATGTTTAGCCTTCAGAGGTTTGATGCAGATCAGGGAGAGAAGAGGGTGACAAAAATCAGCTCTAAGTTTATAAATGAAAGAGGGATATTACCGGGGAAGCTTTTGGAATGTAATAGGTTGTAACCCACATTTTGAAAGCAGTAAGGAACTAATTGCTGCCTTTTTCTTCTCCTTTTTTATTCTGTTGACTTTGTTGATAATATTAGGTGACTACATGGAGCCTGGGTTCTCTCAGTGTTAGCCTGTTATTCCTAAAGTATCC